CCAGGAGCACCGGGGGTAGAAGAGCCAGGAGCGCCAGGAGCGCCAGGAGTGGAGGAGCCAGGAGCACCAGGAGCACCAGGAGCACCAGGGATAGATTCACCAGGCTGTCCGGGAGTGGTAGAGCCAGGAGTAGACGGAGTAGATCCGCCGGGCACGACAGGAACAACGGGCACAACGCCGGTGGGAGATCCAGGGACGGAAGGCACGGTCGTGACACCCGGAGCAACAGGCACCGGCTGGGTTCCGCTGGGGATGCTGGTGGTGTTCAGGAAAGGACCGGGCTTGGTGGTAGGAATAGTGCCGTTGGCGGGGATGGTGTGACTGGGGAAAGGAGCTGGGGGAAGTCCAGTGCCAATGATGGGGGCAGTGCCGTGGCTGGTGGTTGGCTTGATGGGAGCAGTGCCGTGGCTGGTAGTCGGGTTGATGGGAGCAGTGCCGTGGCTGGTGGTTGGTCTGATGGGAGCAGTGCCATGACTGGTGGTTGGTCTGATGGGAGCAGTGCCGTGGCTGGTAGTCGGCCTGATGGGAGCAGTGCCGTGGCTGGTAGTCGGCCTGATGGGAGCAGTGCCGTGGCTGGTGGTTGGCTTGACAGGAATGACAGTACCAGTAGGGTTGGGCTTAGGCTGGGGCTTCACGCCAGTGGGCACTGGCTCCTTGCCGGTGGGAACAATAGTTTTGCCCTCCTCCTCGCACCATGTGGTGGTCAGAGTAACGGTGTTGGTGAGAGTGATGGGCACCGTAAGAGTCTTGTTGCCAGAGACAACAACAGTGGTCGTTTCTGCAAGCTATATTAGACACGATCTGCTTGAGGAAGTACATGAGAGCAAGACAAACCTGGGGTCTCGGTGGTCACATAGGTAGTAGTCTTGGTGATGGTACGGGGAGGGTCGGTGGTGAGAACAAGCTTCTTGGTGGTGGCTGGCTTCTTCTCATCGGGCTGGAGGTTTCTTAGCATGTCAACCGGAATGGGCACACGTTTGCATTAAGCTTACCTCTCCGCCACGCCCTTGGATGACACCGGCAAGGGCTGGAGCAGCTAAAGCCAGGAGCGCAATAGTTCCCTTGACCATTTCGAAGGTTGAATTTTTTTTTTATGCAAAAGGCTCAAACAACACAGCTTTTGATATAAACGAGGGATGAAGAAGGAACAGCGAGTGGCTTCCGTACGGCACGAGGTGGAATAGAGAAGGAAGAAACGATCCGATGAAGCAGAATGTCTCGAGCTTTAAATCTTCATGCCGAAGAGCCTGATGACTATGCACACGATAGTCGTCACTGACGATGGTGATAATGCCACAGTAGTATCCTTTGGTTAACGAAGTACGGGGCAAGTGTTGTATGGTTCAGGAGCAAAAGTATAGCTCATCGATGCTAGCTCTGGTAGGCTACGAGACGCAGATTGAGGCCGACCAAGTCATGGATGCGAAAGGAACCACCGATGTGATGCTGTGATCCAAGCCAAAGGGAATCTCATGTGTCGAGCTGTTGCGCGAATGTAACGTCTTGCTACATCTTCTTGGACAGAGGCCCACAGTACCCACGTCAGTGATCCACGATCTTCGGACACGATGCTAGATGGCTGTACTTAGATAGGAAGTCAAGAGCAGTATTGTCGTCATGACTTTGTGCAACTACTCCAGTTTTCGAATAGGGAAGCTGGACACCTCCCGGCTATCACCGTGACCTATGCTAGTGCAAGCCAAACTAGTCAAGCAAAGCGGGGACAAGCCTGCTGAGAAGGGAAGTGCTACCAGAATTTGTGATCCAATACGGAGTATCGAGCCCTGAGAAAGCTAAGTTAAGCTTGTAAAGATGCATGGATTGGCTCGTAAAGCTCCGTAGCTGACACATTCGAAAAAGCTTTGCAGGAATGTGGAGTCGCTCGAGATCCGCCTGCCTGTAACGTTGCAGGTAAGTTTGTCGGGTCAAGGATCAGGGCAGGGACAGAAAGCAAGAAAGCGACTATAGCACAGAGCAGTACGGGCAGATGCTCACGAAGCACATTAGGTAGCTGCGTTGAGCATCCTATCTGAACAATGTAGTCCATATGGCCTTATGACGAGATCCAGGCCATGGCATCATTGAGCAATGTCAATCGAAATCGAGGTAGGTCGTTGCCACACAGTCGAATAGGCTATCTAAGAAGACTTCAAGCACCATTGAGCTCTGAAGGATCTGGCACCGAATTGTGGAACGGCCGTTTTCAAAGCTGGTGAGGAAGTCGTTGAGATGAGAAGCCGGTAATGTTTCATTGAAGTGAGTGGATAACGTGGCTACCGAGGTAGTCCTATGAGAGCAATGTAAGACGTCATCAGACAAAAGGTCGTTGAGCATCTTGACAGGAACCAAGGCCGCAAGCGGCGATAGCAGATGGCAAGTGTTCCTGCAGGGGTGGTACCAGACAGAACTTGGAAAACGTGATTGTGAAGCTCTGCAGGAGCAAAGTATAACTTACTTCATTCATACTTCGTACGGAGTACTTCGTTGCTTCTGGGTGGGTCGGCGGTACCTTGCTGACTCATCGCCGTTTGCAGCAGTGGATCACGTGTAGATAAGCTCCCCTCAACTCAGCTATCGTATCAGGGTTTAGGGCAAGCGGCGCGTGGGAACGCGTCTTGGAGCGCGTTAATGGTTTGCTGCGGTAGCTGAGAGATAGATGCAGTGATCTCCGATTGTTGTCTAACAACAAGGCAATCCACAACAAACCCCTATGATGCCTCACTCAGTGTCCTCGCAAGGCTCATCAGCCGATCGCAAAGATGAAGAGGTTCTACCAGACGCTCCTTCAGCGGAAATCACCTCCGAAGACAAGACCGATGCACCAGACAATGCAGCAGCAGGCGTAAAATTGGAAGACCTGTTCAACGACGACGATGATGAAGAATACCCAGCTTCGAGCGCACCAGCACCTCAGAATCAGGACACGATGCAGACAGAGTAGGTTCTGCGCAGACTACCAAGGCATATACTGGTACTAATAGAAGTTGCTCGTTCAGCGCCGCCCCTGCTCCCGGTCCAGAGGTAGACACAGACACCATGCTCGCATTCTACCAACGCCTCTTCCCGTTCCGCTACCTATTCCAATGGCTCAATCACGGAATTGTTCCTTCGCCCGATTTCGGCAATCGCGAATTCGCCCTCACCCTCCAGAACGATGCCTACCTCCGATACCAATCATATGCAACGGCAGATCTGTGAGTACTGCGCGATTGATCCGCAAGTGCCACATCAGAACTCTGTGCTAACGGGTAGGCAGCTTCCGTAAAGATATCATCCGAATGAACCCCTCTCGATTCGAAATCGGACCTGTCTACAACACCAACCCCCGAGATCGCAAGACGCTCCGCGGCGGCCAGCTGAAGCCCATCTCCAAGGAACTCGTCTTCGATATCGATTTGACGGATTACGACGACATTCGATCCTGCTGTACGAAGGCCAACATCTGTGGCAAATGCTGGGCATTTGTGACTATGGCCATCAAGGTCGTCGACACGGCCCTCCGCGACGACTTCGGGTTCGAGCACATCCTCTGGGTCTACTCGGGTCGGCGTGGTGCGCACGCCTGGGTGTGTGACCCGCGCGCGCGCAGCCTCCCGGACGACCGCCGCAGGGCCATCGCCGGGTACCTGGACGTGGTGCGGGGCGGCAACAGCAGCGGCAAGCGCGTGAACCTCAAGCGGCCACTGCACCCGCACATGGCGCGCAGCCTCGACCTCCTGAAATCCCACTTCGCCCAGACGACGCTGGTCGACCAGGACACCTTCCTCGGCCCCGAGCAGGCGCAGCGCCTGCTGGCCCTCCTGCCGGACAGAGGGCTGAACGAATCCCTGCGCAAGAAGTGGGAGTCCTCGCCCGACCGCACCAGCGCCAAGAAGTGGGCCGACATCGACGCCCTCGCCAAGACGGGCAAGAGCAGCACCCTGAACCCGGCCACGCTCCGCGACGCCAAGCAGGACATCGTGCTGGAGTACACCTACCCCCGGCTGGATTCCGAGGTCAGCAAGAAGATGATTCACTTGCTCAAGAGCCCGTTCGTCATCCATCCGGGCACGGGCCGCGTGTGTGTCCCCATCGACGCCCGCAAGGCCGAGCTGTTCGATCCCCTCTCCGTGCCGACGGTCACGCAGCTGCTCGCCGAGATCGATGCGTGGGATGCGGAGCATCCGAGCACCAATGCCGGCCCGGAGGCGGCCGAGGGCGAGGGTAGTGTAGCCGACTCGGACGCGAGGGGCAGCCGCAGGGTACAGGACTATGAGAAGACGAGCCTGAAGCCATACATCGACTATTTCCGCTCCTTCATCGCCGGTCTTCTCAAGGAAGAGCGCGGTGGCAAACGGGAGCGGAATGAGGACGTCGAGGAGACAAAGCCTGAGAGTATGGAGTTCTAGGCTTCTGAGTTTCCTCGTAGACGAATGTGGTCTTTTACGATTCTAATCCTCTCAGGTCCTAGCCTGGGTAACATTATTTTTGGGTATGATCTTGGAGCGATTTGGGAGTATGTCCTTTGAGGGTGAATGTTTTAGGCGTTTGAAGAAGGGTCACAGGGCTTTTTTACCTGTGTTCTGTGTAAATATTGTCATGGCTCTTACTCTTTTGTTCATTTGTGACTGCAGATTGAGTTCAGTGAGTGGTTATGGGACCGAATACGAATCGACAGGAGCCATGTTTCCAGTCAAAATTACTTTTTTTTTTGTGAAATTTGATTCTATGTTGTTACATAGTAGGACTGTAAGACGAGCAGCACTACCTCATTATTGACCATAAAGCCTGCTTTGTTGAAAACAGGAGTGACAGATGATATATTTGTGAGAGTTAAAACGCATCATTCAATAGCATGCTGTGCAGGAATCGGGAAGAACGTCTGTGTCCGCCTGATCTAAGCAGAGACGAAGTTCTTGACATCTAAACAGATATTTAGCAAACGATTGTAGGGAGGAGATATCGGTGGGTTACGTACTCTCGAGCCAGCGGACGTACTCCTTCTGCTCCTTGACCTGGATGTAGTCGGGGATCATGGTGGCAAGCTCGGCGTTGATGCCTCTCACGTCAAGGTAGCGGTCAATGAAGTTCTGAAGCTCCTCGTCGAGGTTCTCGAAAGGAGGACCGGCGTACAGGCTCTGTCTAGCCCAGTCCTTCTCGGCGGTCTGCGCAAGAGCCAAGTCGGGCTTGTTGAAGTAGGAGACCTCCTCAACCTGGAACACGCCATCGGTGCACATGGTCTGGACCAGGAGAGCGCCGCTGCCGGGCTTCTCGATGGTGATATTGACACGAGCGGGGAAGCCGGGCTCAAGGTCGTCGATGTCGACTTCGTCGCGGTCGGAGGGAGCGATGCGGTCCTCGGGAAGCTGGGAGATGCCTGCGCGACCTTGGTTAGCAGGCTGGTGGCTTCCGAAGTCGTTTGCGTCCATCAGACCATCAGCGGAGAAATCCTCCTGCTCGCTCAGGTTTTGGAGGTCTGCAACGGTGAAAGTAAGGCGGATCCTATAGAGAAGTACAAACGATTAGATTGATACTTAAGGAGAGAAACGCAGGCACAAGCTTTCTTACTCTTCCTTGCCGAACTTCTTGGTCAAAGTGACTTCCTGCTCGCCGGGAATATCCTTGACCTAGAAAACCCATAAAATGTGAGCTAATGCGGTCAACAGACGATGGTCCAACAAGACGTACCTCCCAGGAGTTGTTTTGCAGAACATACTGGATGTTCTGAACGGAGCCTTCCAGGTCCTCAAGGCCGGAGGCCTTCTCGTGCTTGAGCTCATCCTCAAGCTTGGCAACAAGCTCGACGTCACCTATTATCTCGTACAACGAGTAGTCAGTATTGTGCGCCAGAATGAAATGTCATCTACAGTCCATGACCGAAGCCTCCAATGCTTGGAAAGAACAGGAATGTGGATACAAGGTGACGCGGAGAAGCTCGAAAAACATGAGGGGAAAAATGGATTGATGCGCTTGAATAGAAGGTCGCAGAATCGCCATCATTCGTCCAAGAAAGGTTCTCTTACCCTCGCCGGGGGCCTGCTTGAAAGCCCGAGAGGTCGAAAAAGCAGCATAGGCAGGCTTGGTGATCTGCTTCAAGGTGAAAGCATTCTGAGAAACAGCGGCAACGGGTCTGGAGACAGTTGCGCGGGAGGAGACAGCAAGAGACCGCGCAATGGAGCGGGGGGCGGAGCGAGTAAGAGTGCGAAGGGACATCATCTTGAAGGTAGTGGGTGGATGATAGATGAATTGGAGCTGAAAGTCAAATGGGAAAAATGAATGGGGGTGGGATGATGGGAAGAATGCGGAAGAGGCAAAGTGATGATGTGAACGACAGGAGCCTGGAGTCTCAGGCACCTCCACTATCCAAAGCTCTTCCCGCGCCAAGACCTGGAGCTCCATCCTTCGCATCCATGAAAGTACAGTACAGTACGGAGTACGTACTTCTTTTACTGTTGATTCAAGAAAAACCATATGATATGATATGTGTCTATACATGAATTATATGCAATTATAACGCCATAGTCCCATGAGATTCCCGCAACATAGCATAGCACCCAAACTTTTTGCAACTCGGCACACAGAAGACGAAGGAAATCTTTCAAGACATTCCCTTGGGAGGAAATACCGAAGGCTGCTTGCCTCCATCCTTAGTGATCCGGATGAACTTCATTGTGCTCAAGCCAGACCAATCGCCATTCCAAGCTCTAAGCGAGTTGATCACACTCTGCTCACTAAGATCAGGCAACCAAAAGCCCGTCTTGAATTCCTTGTTCTCAACATCGGTTCGCTGCAGCAACGCCTCTTCCCGCTTGCTGGGGGGTCTGCCTTTCCGTCTCTCGCTCTGTAATTGCTCGATCTCGGGCACACTACGGTTGATGTACCTGGTTTGTACGTGAGCATTCGAAGCGCACGAAGCTATAATTGGCCCTTGCGCCACCGGTACATACCTCACCACGATATCCTTCATCTCGTCTTCCGACATGGGTGTGGCATCTTCGGGTAGCGTCTCGTAGAAGTATGCAATGCGGTCAACTGTGTGTCATAGAGTTGATTAGTGAGAAGTCCTTGGAGCGAGACAAAGTGGCGCAGTGCTAGGCCTCACCATAGGTTTGTCTGCCCCGCGACATATTGGCGGACACTCGAGCGACTCGGTCATCTCTAGCGGTGGCACGGCGTAATCTTCTGGCATCTCTGCTGAACTCGTGAAGAGCCTCAACCGCTCCTCTCTTCTTCGCAATATGCTTGTGTACTTTCTGTAGCGTCTTCGGCATAGTGACGTTTGTTTCTCCTGTCTGCTTGTAGATTGTTGTAATGTCGTCCAGTTTATCAGCGATTTTTTTTCCCCTCGGCGATTTTCTTTTTTGGGCGGGCAGAATGCAATGGCGGTGAGAAAGAGAGCGCAGGCCGCTCACATGAAACCAATCAGAATATGAGATGGCTTTCCTCGCCCCATCGCGTTCCTGGCGCGTCGGAGGGGATGAAGATCAAGCATTCCAACCTCGTTGTCTAGGTCATTGTCGTTTGCTGGTCGCTTAGGGGGTGGACGTCTTCTTCCATCATTGATTAGCAGCCTTCCCATGGTCCTCGCTTTCATCATCTGGCTTGACCCCTGAGCACCTACAGCCGGAGCAGATCCCTGTCTTGGCGGTGCCGGTATAGAGAGCGCGGCCTGCCATCTCGTCAAGAGGGTACTGACAATGGGAATTAAAGGTAACCTTTGTCTTTCCGAGGCGCTCTAGAGCTGTCTCTAACTACTCGTGTTCTTCCTAGGTCTTCATGTTCTTCTTAAATCAATCCAGAAACCATGTCACCTGAAAAGTTATAGTGGGCAGACCTTGGGGATTGATGCCTACGGATGGCTACATCGTGGTACGGTCGCCTGCTCCGTGGATTTGGTCCTGGACAAGCCCACAAGAAAGTATGTACCTGTAGGCTTGCCATCTGACTGCTCTGCGCTAACATCAATGAAAGACACATTGACTTTGTTCTAAATCGGGTTCGCATGCTTATCTACTTTGGAGTAACGCCATATCTTGTATTCGACGGAGATAATCTTCCTAGCAAAGCTGGCACCGAAGATCGACGACAGAAAAGGCGACATGATGGCAAGGCACTTGGGATGGAATTGCTCCGAAAGGGCCGCACGAAGGAAGCTTACCAGGAACTACAGAAGGCGGTCGACGTGACTCCTCTGATGGCGCGGGAGTTGATTGAAGAACTGAAGCAAATGGATGTGCAGTATGTGGTAGCTCCGTACGAGGCCGATGCACAGTTGGTATACTTGGAGCAGCAGGGTATCATTCATGGCATCATCTCAGAGGACTCCGACTTGCTGGTGTTTGGCGCCAAACGCCTGCTGTCCAAGCTTGATCAACATGGTGACTGCATTGAGATCAATCGCGCGGACTTCGGGGCTTGTCGGGACGTCAGCCTGATAGGATGGTCGGATGATGACTTTCGACGCATGTGCATTCTCGCCGGCTGCGACTATTTGGCCAATATTCCACGGATGGGTCTGAAGACGGCCCATCAGAGCATACGCAGATACAAAAATGTTGAGAAAGCCGTGCGGATGCTCCAGTTTGACGGCCAGTATCACGTTCCTGCGGACTACTTGAAGAGCTTCAAGGAAGCAGAGCTTACTTTCCTCTATCAGCGAGTCTATTGCCCCAAGGCTCAAAAGCTGGTTACGCTCACAGTACCTGAAGATGATGTCAATCTTGAAGAGTTGGCTTTCATCGGCAGTGACGTGGAGCCCGAGGTTGCGGTGGGAGTGGCTCGGGGGGATCTGGATCCAGCAACTAAGCAACCTCTGATATTGAAGCCGCCAGCTGCAGCGAAGTTTACCGAGAAACGACTCACAAACACCTTGCAACGTCGACAAACACTCGGATCAGCAGCCGAGTTGAAGCCCAACAAGCCCATCAATTCTTTCTTCACCCCGAGACGCACGCCGTTAGCTGAGCTCGACCCGAATAGCCTCACGCCTTCCCCAAGCCAGCAACGGCTTCTCGAGCGTCATGCTAATACTTCTTGGGAGAGTAGTTCCGTTCCCACGCAGCCAACTCTGATGAGGTCGGCCTCTGCTACGTTGTCGAGCAGATTCTCTAGTCCCTTGGCAAGAGATGTCGAGCGGGACTCTTTTAATCCTCAAGCCTTGAGACTGTCTGCTCTGCAACCCTCTAAGCGACAGCGCCTCTGTTCAGATATAGATGAGGGACAATTACCAAGTGCATCTACTTGCCGCAGTCGATTCTTCACAAGCAGTACTGGGGAGTCTAGTCCGAGCGGACTTAAGGTTAACCGTACTAAAAAGGCTCGGAAACACTCTTTGGACGTCTTCTCAGATGATTCCGTAGAGGATATGATGTCTCAGATTCCGGATCCTACCGAGACACCTGCGAAAGATAGAATCGAGGAGTACCAAGATGCTGGGCCAAGTCAACCTCTCCACGCATCAAACGTGCTCCCGCAATCCACGAAAGCTAATGTCGAGGATCACCTCGATAAGGGTTTGGAGCAGAAGCGAGAAGTACCATCAGATTCCATTCAATTTACTGAGGGCAACCCCAAGACTGTCAGTCTGGAGACCAATCCGGTAGAGTTTCAGAAAGTCCTCGACTATCACATCGAGAAGCAAAACTCAGGGCTGCTTTCGAGGTTTGCATTCCATCGGAGAGATAGCAGCGTTCGCTCGGAGAGCGTCACTCGGACAGAACCCAATGCACGGCCCCTTCCAACTATCCCCTTCTCGAAATCGAAATCACCAATGGACCTGAGAACCGGAAGTCCACGGACGCCGCCTAGACGTGGACGGACAACACCCTTGCAACGACTGGGGCAAAGTGCCTTGGCTAGGTCTCGATCTCTCAACCATCTTTCGTCGTCTCTCGCCGCCTTTCGGGCATCAAAAGTCTCGTTTACTCCAGCTGAGCCCAGCAACAGCAGTCTAGGCAGCACCCGGAATGTTATGCCCACCTGTCATGGGAGTGAAGACATGATCATTCCGGATAGTGAAGACGATGAAGAAGACGACTTGGAAGAACCCGACGGTAATGCCAATGGAGGCTTGCCGATCCCAGTCGCTATTGACCTCAAGCGATTCTCCTTTGTAGGTTGAGACAAACTCTTGGAGTGCTTGGGGGACAATCGACTTATGATTATCAATATAGGAGTTCTTGGGAGTATTGTTAATTTTATGTATCATGGCATTGGGTTGGTGATTTGACACACAGTACGCAGTACAGTACAGTACATGACAGAGAGGGTGCTTGGACGTATAAATAACAAGATCTACATGGGATTAACCGCATATCTCTTAGGTGCAAAGCATTTGGCTAGACTATGACATAAGAGTGTGAGGTTCCATGGAAAAGTTGGAGGCTGGGAGTGGGCACGTGCCGATAAGATGATCGGGGGTTAGCGCGATCAGTGGAGTCCGGGCGGATCCAATGGGGTCAGATGACGGCGGGCGGTGTGGACTGGTTACCGGGGAACGGACGCGGTAAACAAACGGGAAGTGGCAGGCAGTGGCCCAGCCTCCCGCTTTTGGCCCTTCTTTGGGCTGTAGACTACATACACAGTACAGTACATCGTACACTCCACACTACTACCTATCTTCCCAGCCTCCCTCATTATTCCTCTTTCCAATCCAGCTTCATTGACTATTCTGGCGCGTCAAGGCCCAATTCTGTCGGGTGGACTCAACCTTGGAAAAAAAAAAAAAAAAAAAAAAAAAAAAAAAAAAAAAAAAAAAAAAAAAAAAAAAAAAAAAAAAAAAAAAAACCCTCCCCCCCCCCCCCCCCCCTTCCTCTCTCCTGCCTGCACTCACTCTCCTTTCCCCATTCCCTTACCCTCCGCTTGCCTGTTTTTGGCAGACATCCAGTCCCTCCACTCTAGCCCACCCCAGCCCAGTTGGTGACTCTCCTTGTACAATTCTAACCACCATTATCCACTATTCAGGGCTATCCGTGGGACTTTCCAGTCATACATTCTTTGGATCTCGATCTTGATAACGGTCCCGGCCCGTCGTCGCATTGCAGCTCCTGTGCTCAACATACCGGGCAATCGCTGCATTCCTCCCACAGACATTGCCATATCTCCTCGGCGCTGAGAGCACGAGTCACGACATCATCACTCGAAGCTCACTTCTCTTGAAGAAGGCGAGCATCTAACCATAATTGATCTGTCATTTGGGTGGTAGTGTCGCAAGAGGTGCGCAGCAACCGGCGCAGACTCCTTCTCGGGGTTCCGAGAAGTGAGTCCTGAATTAAAGACGCGGGGAGACAACACCTGGACAACCCAAGATGCCTTCTAAAATCGGTGCCCGGCTAGCCCGTACGTATCTCGCTTCCTTCGAAGAGAGGCATTAGAATATTGACGCTTGACCCTGCAGGGCTGCTACCAATGATCGGTTACCACCACGTGCTAATGATTATCATTGCGGTCGCCATCATCCTTCTATGTCAGTAATTCTCCGATCCCCCGTGCTCCGGAATGCGACTAACATTGATCAGCCCTATTATTGGCCGGATGCTCGTCGTCTTCACCCCAGATTCCTAGCATATTCCTGATATCATTATACTACGAACGATACTCGCCGACGTTCAACCTAGCGCAGGTAGATCCGGGCGTGGTTACAGCGACGGCGAACATAGTAGGAGGAGCCGAAATGGAAGTCCGTGTGGGCTACTTCGGTATTTGCGTGCAGCCGGATGCAGGATCATATATCTGCAATGCCAATGCGACCGCCTTGGCCGAGATTGTCACGGTCGATCAAGACCCTCTGAACCTGATATGGGTTGCGTCAACGTTCAAAGATGCTGTTGTGTTTCCATATCTACTGTACGTTCTCTCTTAGGTTTTCGTCTTGTGTGTGTCTTGCTAAATCGCGATAGCATCATTGCCGTCATCCTCGCCTTCTTCTGTTTTATCCTGCTGGCCACCTTCCCCGGATGGCACGACGAGCTCGATGCTAGTGGTTCCGAAGTCGAAGCCAAGCCATTTCCTTCACGACCTGTCTCGCAAGCCGCCCTCGCTCTCATCTTTGTCGCGTCGGTCTTCGTCCTCGTGTCCGTTCTCTGGCAGCATACCGCATCCGTCGCCGCGAGCACCATCGCCCAGGACATGGGCAACGGTAGCGTGAAGAGTGGTGTTGGTACTTCTGCCATGGTGCTAGGCTGGTTTGGATTCGGCCTTATGGTGGTGGTGACGATAGGTCTTCTCGTCATGATTCTCAGCATCAGCCTCATCCGACAATTGACGGACGAACCATAGCCACGCTGACATGCCAAATTGGACCCTCAGCCCTTTTTTCATCGCACTTTGATTCCCCACTTTGATTTTCAACGCTACGCACTGCCCCTTCATTCGACACCCCCGCCTTCTTGCGATAAACACGCCCCAGAGACGGCATATACAACGAGCAGCACGTGAATAATGATGCATATTGACATTTGGAACATGAAATTTTTCTCTCTGGCTTTTTATATGAGTTTATGGGTACGGACATTTGGACAAGGGAATACGAGATACGGTTACAGTTTTTCATTCTGTTTGTTTAAAGAAGTCATCATGAAGAAAAGAAAACGCCTAATGAACAAGATGCGGCCAACAACAGATCAATTCGGCCGTTCAGTCTTCTTGAGGTTAGTTTAGCTCACCTCATCAGAAACGAATCAATCCACTCCTCGCAAACTTGTTTTCCTCCTCCTACCCTGTATAATCTGCGGAGAGATCTTGTTGGCCTCGATGCTTGTTTTCGCTTTGTCATGGGCCTTGTATAAAACCCTTGTTAAGGTTGCTTCGCGTTATCTTGTTTGTGGCTGCGGAGGGGATATTAGGTGGATCTGGGCTTTTAATAGTTTTGTGATAGTCTTCTAGATCATGTATTTGTTGTTCATTTTGTGCTTTCTGCTGAGGCGACTTGATCTGCGTAAAGAACTCCTATTGATACTTGAGACACATCGCTTGCATCGTCCCCGCCCTTGTCCGTATCATTGGTTGCAAATTCGAGCAGCTCATGCCCTGGATGGAACTGTCCAATAGAGCAGCATCCCTCGGTTCAAAAGCTTTCGACCAGGATCTCCGTGAAATTCCTACCCTCAAATACAAAGATCCCAACGGGGAAGATATCGAGTATTCAGTAGACTGTCACATGACATGGTATTGTGATTACCAGCGTCTACTACTAGGTAATCTGCATGCTAAGAGAACATCCTCTCTTCGGTCCACAGACACGAACAAATCAAGACGCCTGCTGGGGTTACGCAAATGCAAAGAGCGCCCCTCATAATGTTATTTTTTGTTTTGTTTTTTTCTTTTCGTCTAGTAATTCATCACCGGCGGACCACCGCCTGGTCCGGGCTTTTCCTCATGACTGCCTTCATACCCACCGCCGTAATCGTCGAGGGACCGGTAACCCGGCGGCCCATTGTCACGGCCTCCCCGGCCTCGACCGCCACCACCACCACCACCACGGTTGCCGCCGCGGTGCTGATGGTGGCCGCCCCTGCCTCGCCCTGCAGCGCCGCGGCCGCGGCCCCGGAACGCGTTACCCCGGCGCGGGGGTCCGTCGTCGTGGTGATGGCGGCCTCCGCTGCGCATGGCATTCGGGTGCGGCTGTCTTGCGTGGTGGGGGTGGTGGGGGTGGTGGTGCGAAGCAGCAGCAGCAGCAGCCGCCGCGCCGTCATACGTGGCGGGCTGCTCGGCGTGCGGCGGGTAGAGGATCTCTTCGTTGCGCTCCTGCTGGTGCCGGCGTTTGTTGTTCTTGTTGAGGAACTGGCTCTCCCACTCGCCCTCATTGGGGTTCTCCTCCTCGACGCGCAGGACGACCTTCTCGCCGACGACGGTGTCCACGGGGAGCGCCTTGTCCGCGGGGACGGGGTGCCAGCTCTGGATCTTGCCGGCGTCGATGGGGCGCGCGCCCTTGCGCACGGCCAGCACCACGACGGGCTGCGGGTTCTCGGTGTAGTACTTCGCGGTCGCGGGCACGGGCGCCATCCGCGCGGCCCACACGCGGTTCTCGAAACACGCCGTGCCCGTGATCTGCCAGCTCAGCTTCTTGCCGATGCCGCCCACCTTGTCCAGAATCGACCGTGGCGCTGGGCGGGGCGTGATGAGGATGCTGTTGGCCATGTACTTCAGATCGTTGGAGTCCGCCAGCCCGTAGGGTAGCATCGGCGTTAGTACTTCGCGGATCAGCCGGCTCGAGTCGGCGTTCGAGATCAGGTAGCCCGTGTAGAAGATGGTGCGCTTGATGCGCAGTCGACCGTACGGCGACTTGGCCTTGTTGAGTGACGGCGTGCGGGTGGTGAGGTTGTGCGAGTTGATCATGCGCTGCACTTCGGCGGTTTCCAATACGGGGTCAAGATACATCGATCCTTCGGCTACCTGGATGACTTCCGAGGTGATCGGCTTTCGCGGGCTGGGGCCCTGCGCAGTCTGGAACTTGCGGTTCAGCTGCTCGAAGTAGTCCCGGAAGCCTTTGGCACTGGCAGACGGTCAGATGCTCCAGCGATATGGAGGAGCGAAGATGCAAAAAGGAAAAACAACACAGACATGGAAGACGTACTGCTTCGGGCGATCTTCATAGATGCGAAGATCTTCAGCCTGCTCGTAAGTGAGGATAAGGTCTTCCAGGAAAGTCTGCTTGAATTCCATCGTGCTCGCAAAGCGTTGATTCCGCGGGCCAACTTCCGGCTTGAGGCAAATCAGATCAAACTCCAGCTTCTTACTGTTCACCATGCGTTTGATGATCTCCGAGAATCCACTTTCACTGCGACCCGTCAGAAGCACCGTCAACGCGTCTTTCTGCTCCATGCTCAATTTCACGAGTTGCACCTAAGGGGAACGTATCAGCCAAATTGCTGTAGTTCACGTGTAGGTTTTTGTAATGGAAGACCACACAATCTGTTCGTTCCACCACCCCTCCCACGCGCGCGGTTCCTCCTTCTCGATACCTTCTCCGGTAGCCGACAAGAGGTTCGGGTCATGCCACCAACCGCCGTTCGCGAAGCTCTCATAGGCTTGAAGGAACCCGATCGTCGGGCCATTCCAGAGTTGCGGGTTCGGGAGCGGGCTCAGGAATACTGGAAAGCATTAGAATGCGAGGCGGATCAGACGAAAGTCGCACGGTGACGGGTGCATCCTTACATGTGTTATCAAAGTCGTATACGTGAATAGACCTGACCTGCGGTACTGCTGTAGGCAAGAACAGACGAAATTATCAGCCACCCGCAGCGCTCTGTTATTGTGGAAGCTAGATCCTCACCTGGTAGTTCTTTGTTGGTGATGGACCACCGTCTTAGACTGGTGATGGTGCGCGCGGGCGCGCTCGCGCTCTGAGTGTGATTTCGCATTTTGGAAGCGTTCTCTGCGACTACGGACCTTGCAGATCTCATTACCTTCAGCATGAGTGAGTTGCGACAGGCATTCGAGGGTTCATATAGGAAGACAGAGATCCATATGGCCACAGCTACTGTGAGTCAATGCGAGGTTTCACCGCGGAGATTTCGCCGCATATCACGGAAAGGCCGCCGCCGCAAAGAGGCGTTTGTGGCAGGCAGTTTCGATGGCTCCGGCAGGCGGTGGGGACTCGGTCAGTCGCTGTGACGGTGTATCTGCCAGTCATATTCTTCGCCAATCTAAGCGGTGAGATGGACTGCAATGGATGACGTAAGTTGATTCGTAGGCGGTCAGCAATTCCTCGTCCTCTTTGATCTGGAAACTTGACGAACAAAACATTCCTACCCTGTTTTATGCCTTCATCTTGCCCAATCGTCCACCCGTAAAGGAACCAACCTTTTGATGTGTGAGCTGGTGTAACTTTCCATGTCCGATGATGATGGCATACAGCAGGCAATCTTGCAACGAACGCTCCAAGAGGTAGCACAAGAAGAAAGCGAGAATGAGGCAAATCCGTGCGTCATCTGTCTCGAACCGGTCTCCGAAGCCGCCATCGCGGTGCCCTGCAAGCATGCGAACTTCGACTTTCTGTGTCTGGTGAGCTGGCTGGAGCAGCGTCGGAACTGCCCGCTCTGTATGTACTGTACCTCACGCCACTTCGTCGAGTCTGCGAGGGTCTTCAGCTAACGCCAAGTTGAAGGCAAGAGCGACGTCTCCGCAGTCCGGTACAACCTCGACAGCCCCCAAGGACCAAAGGTCTATGACCTTCCACCTGCCGCGCCAGCGAAGCCCAACCCATCCTCGTCCCATCCACCCGCATCACCCTTCCACCATCACCCAGCCCGTCGCCCGCGCCGCGCTCGAAGCCCCGCGAACCGACTCCCGCACCAAGCCCAACCGAGCGACGACCCCCTCCGCCGACGCCAACACATCTACCGCCACCAACTCTACTCTCTGCGCGTCGGCTCCAACCGCCTCTCTCAATACCGCGAGCTCACGCCCGAGCGCTTCAACCGCGAGGAGGAGCTGGTCTCGCGCGCGCGCAAATGGATCCGGCGCGAACTCAAAGTGTTCGCCTTCCTGAACCCTTCCGCCGCGGGACCCGCCGCGGGGACTGGTAGCAGTGCCGGTGCCTTGCGCTCGACAACGACGCCGCGACAGCAGCCCGCACCTCCTTCACGAGCTGGCCCGCAGCGACTCGAGAACCGCCGCGGCAATAATGCCGAGTTCCTCCTCGAGTACATCATCGCGATCCTCCGCACGGTCGATATCAAGGGCAGCGCGGGCCAGGCGGAAGAACTCCTCCGGGATTTTCTGGGGAGGGAGAATGCGCGGCTGTTCCTGCATGAGCTGCAGGCTTGGTTGCGGAGTCCGTACACCTCGCTGGAGGACTGGGATCGGCACGTGCAGTATGAGGATGTGTCGCGGCGTGAGGGAGCATCGTCTGCGCAGGCGCTGGCCGAGGGCGCCTCGGCGTCGACGCCGGTTTATCGGGGTGGGAGTTCACATCGTCATCGGGGAGGTGGCAGAGGAACATGGCGGGGACGAGTGGCTAAGCCGGCGCATTCGCGGAGGCAGCCGTATCAGCGCGGGAGCCAGGAGCAGCAGGCCCGGAGGGTACAATATGCTCGGGAGCGTTATATACCCGACTAAGATAGAGCAGGCTGTGGGTTTTGCTGCGCTGTCCGCAGCTATGAATTATCTTGCATATACTAGGAATGATTGGTGCATGCTATAGACAAATGTATAAATCATAAGACTGGTATCTTGGATGATGCAAACGAGAAGAATACGCTAGCAGGGTTCATGGCTCGTGATGTTTAGGTGCGGAATTCTAACGTCGCCTGCCGAAGCGCCCGCCGCCTCGTCCCTTGAAGTTCTTGTTTCGGATCTTCAACGACCGGTAGTTGGCGTGCGCTTCCGGATTGACCTTGCGTGCGCGTGGCTGCTTGGGCTCGGGGTCCTTTGCCTGCGTCTGAAGTCGTACGGGTGGTTTCTCCGGAGTCTCTGTTGCTGGCGGCTTGCCGGCCGCGATGGCCTCCTTCATCTTCTCGGAGAAGCTCTTGCTCTTCTCTCGAGGCTGGGGTCCTTCGTCATAGTCCGGGTCGAAGTCGGACAGATCCGGTTCCGACATGGTGTGTAACGAATCGAGGTCGTCCAAGTCAGAGACCTCGGTATGGCTCCGGTCCAGAGGGCCGGGGGCTACGAGCTGCTGAGTTTCGCGGACGGCGGTGGCTCCCCCATCAGGGCCATCCTCCTCCTCCTCTTCATCCGAAAAGGACGGCAATTCGGGCGCAGACTGCCTCGAAGTTGCAACCACCGGCTTCATGCGCACCTTGCGGGTGGTCCGCTTCTGGCCCTTCTTCTTCCAGACCGGAGCGCCCTCGTTCTCAGCCGCCGCGGCCTGGCTATCGGCCACCTGGGCGTCCATCATCGCCGCCTGCTCGGCCTCGATCTCCCGTAGGACATCCATGTCATCCTCCATCTGCTCCTCTTCCATGTCGCGCAACCCCTTCACCAAAGCCGAGAGGCCCTTCCCGACGAACTGGGGTCGCTTCCGCGTGGCCATCGGACTCAACCCACCCGTGATATTTGAGGTATCGTACCGTCCCGACGTCGACCGGCGCAGGAACGAGGGAGTCTCAGGCCCGTTCGGCTCCTGCGTTGCCTTCGCTGGACCCCCCTCTGCCCCCCCTCCCGCTGCCGCTACTCCTCCTGCTACCGCTGTCCCCGTATTAGACCCATCATCCATCATCGTCGCATACCGCCACGTCGTAGGCGTAGCGAACAGCGTCGACAGCATCCACTTCTTCCCCGACGAAGTCGGAGTCCTTCCCAGCCTCGAACCCTCATCATCATCCTCACTGTCCTCACCTCCTTCCCCTTCCGCCTCCTTCTCCCCCTCCTCCTCCGCAATCGTATCCATAGTCCCGCTCTTCATCTTCCGGGTTTTTGTCCGTCGCGACGGCGTCCGCACACTCGCCTCCTTCAGACTCGCGATCCTCGTCGCCGACGGCGTCGCCGCACTCCCGCCGGACTCCGACAGGAGATCGAAGAGCCCCAGCGCCTTGCCGTCGCGCTGGGGCGTCGGCCCGATCGCCGCCTTCAACGGCGACAGGTGCGTGGTCGGGCTGAAGAGCCGTCGCAGCACCGACGGCGAGTCGTACGGATCGACCTCTGCAGGATGGGAGGTGGAGGTCGTCTTTCGGGATGGCGTCTCAAACGCCCCGGCCCCGGCCCCGGCATTGTCGGGTTTCTTCCGTGGGGTGTTGAGGAGGTTGTCCGATGGCCCATGCGGGGAGGCGTGTTTGCGTTTCTTTTCGCTGTGGTGTCGGGCGTTTTCGGTTGGTCTGGAGGACGGATTGCTGGTGGAGGATGTTTCGAGGGCTTTGAGGCGGGAATATTCTTTGTATTTGGCGGCTATGACCCAGACAAAAAGGGGGGACGTTAGCTGGGCCTTTTGCTTTTGTGGGGTGACAGTGACCGTGTTAGGGGGGGAATTACCGATTTCAGGAACTTTCTTGATATCACTTCGATCGGCTTTTCTGCCGCCGTTGGCGTCGGCGAACGCTCGCTCCCATTCTTTGAGCTCCGCGCGTAGGTCGGTGGAGGAGGGGGTTGCTGTTGAAGGTATTGTGGCGGGGGCCATTATTGCATGTTGGTCGAGGCGAGTGGGATAGGATCTATAGTGTCGTAATCTGAAAGGGCAAAGGGGCCGTAGAGGTCTATGTCTGGGGAGAAGGATTTGCAAAGGCGTGGCGTGGTGAAGTAGAGCGTCGTGGTGGTGGTGGTGGTGGTGGTTAGTGGACCGGCTGCTGGGCCCGTCGCGTCCGCGAGAATCAATTAACGCGGGTTTGGGTTTGTTGCAGGGCGGGCTGACGTAGCGTGTCGTGTCTCGGCCTCGGTCCCCGGCTTTACTTTTCACGGTAGTATTTGTTTATGGATCAACAAAGTCTATTCTTGGTACTGTACCTGAGATTTTTATTCTCATCATGACTCGATTGGGTATTAGCTAAGTATACAAATTTCAATCATGATCGTTAATGATCTTTTCATGCAGCAAGAAAAGAATCTATCACCAACTCGTCACACCACGACATCTATCAAACCCACCCCGCAACTGGGATTCGGGATGCACCACCTTCCCCTGCAGCAGCGTGTACGTGACGATGCCCTCGCAGTGCTCCGGCCGGATGCGGGCCAGCCAGATCATCTGCTCCTGCGCCTTCCGATACACCAGCACATTGGCCGAGAACTTGTGGCCGCCGACATGCGAGACGAAGAAGATGCCCACGCCGCCGGGCCGCTCGTCGTTCGCGTCGCGATACAGTCCCCGCGGCCGCAGGTGTCGCTCCAGCTCCTTCTTGATCAGCGGGGCGGTGATCCCGCAGCGCGCGTCGCGCCGGCGGTGCGAGCAGAGCAGCACCACGTAGTCGTACTGGCATGGCCGCGGGGAGAGTCGCGAGGCGGGATCGTGGGCCACCAGGCCTTTGTTGGCGAGCGGGGCGTCGATGTATCGGTCTACGACCTCGCGGACATCGGCTGTGTGCACGGAGTCGAGGAAGGTGAAGGACGGGAGGAGGAGGATGGTGGTCCCGTTGTTTTCGCCTTCTGGTTCTTCGTGGTGGGACTGGAGGTTCGAGGCCGAGATCATCATGCGCTAGTTTTATTTCGGTTAAAGATCACTCGTTCTCGCTCATCGGTCCTGGCTACACCAGAACGGAACATACCCCGTGCTTGGACTGGTTGGCGGAAGCATCGAACGCCTCCATGAGCGATCCCTTCTCGTTCTCGACATGTTCCGTCCAGTCCGACTTGCCTGTCGCGACTAGGACGTGGGTGTGGAATTCTTTGATGTGGCCGTACAGCGGCCGGGAGGTCTCGACCTTCACCTTCGACGGGAATTGTACCGTGCAGTCGGCGCAGTCTTGCTTGCAGTCGGGCCCGTCCTGCGTGGGATCCACGCTGGGGAAGATGTAGTCGTCGTTGCGGATCAGGCCGCCGCGCGCCAGGAGGGACCGGAGCATCGTCGCTGGCGACGCTTTGCTTTTGCGATAGTGGTGATTTTCGTAGGTCACTGCTCTGCGAAGAGAAAGGGTATATCGTACGATAATCGACTGAACTGCTCGGACACGAGAGAAGAAAATAAAACCAATCTGACAGCCATTTCCATGGCGGATTGAACTCTAGCTTTTCCTATATACTCCGCTGAGCTCGGAGACGGACTATCGCAAAACATCATCTCCGAGGCTTATCCCCGAGGGAGTTGGTCGAAATAGGCAACCATGATTGTTTCTATTCTGCCGGTGTCGATGCGTGGAGTTAGACTTTAAGTAAGGTATGTCTCGGAGACAATGACAGCCCGACCTGTCAGACGGTCGGCTGCAGCTACATTTCCACTGCCATTGCCATAATGTGTCAGTTTGAGTCGTGGGCCACACAGTACGGTAGATAGCTCATCCGACGAATTATAGTTAACTAACTCACCTACCGGCTGCTGACTATTATTTAAAGCAAAGCATTGCTTGGTTATCGGCAGTGCGGCCACTGGCTAATTTCGCGTCTCCGGCTCCATAACTCTAATCGCCCTCAATTGAGCCGAAAACCATAAATCCCCAAAGATGAGACCGTTGACAATGCAGTGCATTCAATTGCACCAGCCCCTCTTCTCCCTTGTCGAGACAGTGGGACTCTGGCCCGTGTTTTGCTTGCCTGCAGCTCTGGACCCTTCGGATCTCCTGGTCACTAAACCCAGTTAGGCAAATCCTGGTTGTTCATCCCCCCCCAGTCTGGTTAAATTGCTGCGAATGTCTGGCGAATGCCTGAGAGAATAATGCGACTGAAACAATCAATCAACAATCCCGGAAGAGCCGACCGTAGGCTTGCTACTGCTATGTCAAACCAAGCCGGAGGAAAATGGCGGGTGCGCCTTTTTCGCCGAACGTTGATCTGACCCTACTGGCTACTCGGGGAGACAACCAACGATCTTGTGTCTCAGTGAAAGAAGAGGAAAGACAATGGATTGTACAGGACGTCCATTGATTAAGAAACTGGAAGAGACTAAGAAACTAAGAATTGTCTCTGCCTACACATGGTCGGCGATTGTTCTTGTTCTTGGAAAGGTGTGAAACCAGGCCCACCGGGTCAGGTTGCCCCATTGGGAGGCTATGGCCGGCAATGCCCAACACGTAAGCCACCATCCACCAATTGTGTCCACGGTTAGTCTTAGTAGTGGGAGGGAAACTGGCCCCAATCTGCCCCCCAATACATTTTGGCGGTGCTGCGCATACCTACCTCCGTTTCTCACTTCCCTCTCATCCTTCTACACCGCGCAATCCACCCCCTCTTCTCTTCAATCATGGCTGATGTTCAGTTGAAATTGGCAGCTTCGGCGCCAAATTCTCAACCAGAACAACAGCAGCACCAGCAGCACCAGCACCAGCAACAACAACAACAACAACAACAGCAACATCGAGTGCGCAAGCGACGCCGACGGACAATGGCGTGTATGCAGTGCCGCAGCAGAAAGCTCCGTTGCGACCGTGAATATCCCGTATGCGGACGTTGTCAGAAGAGCAAAACCCCAACCCGATGCACTTACGAGGATGGATTTCTCTGGCAGCAACCCAATACAGTTGCTTCGCCCGTTTTCTCCGAGAGAGGTCCCACAGCCACGACACAAATGGCCCAGACTGATCGGGCGACTGCCCACCCTACCCCGGACTCGGGGATAAGTAGTTTGCCGACTCGGCCTCAACCCTCCTCCAGGGACTCACGTCCCGGCGAGGAGCGACGCGATAAGTTTCTAGAAACCGTCCTCGGCGCCCCCAAGGCCGCCGTCAACCAAGAACCGTATGCAAATACCAGCCTGCTGCACCGGCCGCGACAGGTCTTCGAGCCGCATCAGGTCCCTCAACCGCACCCCGCCGAGGACGACGAGGATCTGGCCTCGCCGACGCAGCAGCTCGATATCTCCCCGCGGATCATGATGCGAGGGCGAGAGACCAAGACTCGTTACAATGGCTCGGGCATATTTGCCAATCTGATAGCTCAGGTATGCCGCCCCGGTCCCTCAACTCACGTCCGAGGGACGACCAATCCTACGATCTGATTGGCCCTGCCACAAGTCACTTATGTTGATTGCATGCTTTAGTTCCCCGACCTCAGGGCCTTTGCCGAAGAGATCAGGGTTGCCAGCCCGCATCTCTCGGCCTTGCGACCGGATCTCATCAGAGTTAAAAAGGGCCTCTGGAAGCGAAAACCGTTGAATGAGCCTTTCCCGATGCCCACCATGCAGTCATTAGTCACCATGCTTCCGGCTCGCGCCGTCGTCGACGAGTTGGTCTACTTGTACTGCATCTATATCGAGTCCACCCATCGGATCCTTCACATGCCTTCGTTCCTCGAGGAGCTGGAGCAGTTCTGGGCCCAACGGGAAAGCCCCGACATGACCTCGACCGTCTTTGTGGTTCAACTGCTCCTGGTGCTGGCTTGTGCGTGGAATCTAGCGGACCTCAACACTCTTCAAATGAAGAATGAGGCGCCTCTCACCTGCTATACGGCCATTGAATGGATTCTCCACGCAGAGAGGTGGATCGACAATGCCAACTTCAAACGACCCGAGCTCGCTACCCTCCGTCTACAAACTCTACTCATCATTGCTCTGAATATCCATGGCATGAAACGCAGTCAGGCATGGCTTGCCACTGGGACGCTCGTCAAGCGGGCCATGATGGCGGGGTATCACCGCGATCCAAGTCGATATACCAAGATTTCCGCGTTCAGCATGGAGATGCGCCGACGAATGTGGGCTACCATCGTGGAACTCGACCTCCAGATCTCCTTAGAACGAGGCATGCCTCCTTCGGTGCAAGAAGACGACTACGACACCTTCCCGGCGTTGAATATCGATGATACAGACATCAAGGACGATAGCATCGAGCTTCCGGACGAAAAGCCGCTGGATATGATGACCGACTCGTCATTCCAGGCGGTGCTGACACAATCTCTTCCTTTGCGGCTGAAGGCCTGTGCCTTGATGCACTCTCCTCGAATTAGTTGTCGATACGAAGAGATCATGCGTCTGGATTGGGAATTGAATCGTCATCTTTCCAAGATTCCTGCATGGCCCACCTCTGAAGTCGATGACTTCCATCGCACGTCGGAGCGCGTAATCTTGATGAGGGCCCTCTTGAAGAACAAGATCGGTCACTCGCTTTTGTCTATCCACACCCCGTTTGCCATCGAAGCTCCTAGAGAAGCTCTTTTCGCACCGTCAGCTCGGTCCCGCCTTGAAGTAGCGTCGATGATTCTTTCTACACAGCGACAGCTCCGTGAGAGATCGGCCCAGCTTTCGCTCTGCAATATGGGAGAATGGACCGTGCAGGCTTACTGCACCATATGCCAGCTCCTTCATGAAAAGGACAACAAATCCGGTCAGTGAATTTTGTCTTCTTAGATGTTCGTGGATGGTACTGATTTCAGCGATAGCTACTTCTCTCACTCGTACCCTCCCCGGGCTCCCCGAGTCATTGATCTCCCTGGTGGAGACCGCCTTGACCTGCCTCGAATCCCGCCTGCTTCTAGTGGTGAAGGGAGCGAAAGAATACTTTTTCATGTCGACCATCCTGGCGCTGGTGAAAGCCACTCTCTGGCCAAGCCAGTCGCATGTTTTCAAGCAAGAAGTGGTGGAGCGTGTGATTCTTTTCGCGCAGACACTCTTCACCCGACATGCCAATTGCGCTCATCTGGGAGACTGGGGCATGGGTAGTTTCAAGACCAACCAGGTAAGCGACTTCGTCTCTCTCAATCCGCAGCTCATCCTGACGATTGCAGGTTCCAAGTTTGAACACCGGCTCTGGGATGGCGCCGCCCTTTGTCCCAGACGTAGCGGTAGGGCAACCGGGGACCTTTGGCATGGTGGTTAGTTCGATCTACCTTTTCTCTCTCATCCCGCTAACAATCTGTCCAGCCCGCCGTAGATCCGTTTCTCGACTCCTTTGACTGGGCTGACTTGACGGGCATAACGTTCTAGCCATGATGATGTAAGAGTAGAGAAATCATGCCCCCCACCGTCCCGTTTGACCTCATGCCCTATCACGACGATGATGGTTTGCACTGTACAAATACAATTGATCACCTGTATTATCCGAATGATTGTCTTAGTCAGACGGTGAGGATCGTCGTGGCGGTGACGCCATGCGATCGGGTTGAGCGACGATCCACGGCATCGCGTCGATGTCACTCAATAGTCATGCACCCACATCTGGGCTCACTTCGCTCCCCGCCCGGTTTTGCTTTCACAATCATCAACCAGCCTTACCAAGGAGAGATTTCAAGTCCCTGGAGGTTTTAACCGATATGTGGCTTATGCAGGGATGATGCAAGAACGGAACGAACACCTTGGGGGTGGTGGGGTTGTTGATCGTCTTGCGAACGGCAGTGAGTGATCGATTCCGTACGTCAGTTGAGGTCCCTTGCTTGGGAGTTGAGTGAGGGCCTTGACGTAGATACGCCATTGAATGTCAGTCAATTGCGTGATTGCTGACTTTGCGATTCCAATGTCTCTGCAATTGACACTGCAGTGATGGCTGTACTGTACTGCGTGATGTAGAGTGGGGATACAGTGTGTTTCTTGTCAGGGCCAACAATGGGTGCCATACATGTACAGTACTACTAATATAACAAGATCACTATAATCCTGCCCGTAGGGTCAAGATTAGAATACATAAAAATAGCAAGCCAATAAGTGATCTAGAATGCAGCACAGTTCATTAATGTATACCGTATCTGAGCCCCTGAGTGGTAATTACCTTACCAGTAACTCTCGGATGGTTGGAGGGGAGATAAAAGAGAAGATACCCACCGTACTGTACCGTATTGTACCGTACTGTACCGTACCCTCCGTTGATCCAGATTGACTGTTTATCACGTTTATCACAATATCCATGATAGCTTGTCTACTCCGTACACCACACTTTCATCACTGCATCCATCTCTAGGCACCCGCTTTTATTCGTTCTCCCCCATGGAGCCCACATTGACTAGTGTCGAGAGTCTGGTCCAGACAGTCTCTGGTGCTCAGCCCTGTTTCTACCACCTAGTCTGCTCAATTCCCCGTCCTTTTGTCCAGTAACCAATGAAGAAGATGGCTGTCGCCGATGCGGCCCATTGAGGCTGTCCCGCAATCTTCACAGCCATTGCCCATCGTCGAGACTATCTTCGGCCGATTCAAACAGTATATATTAGTATAATCCACTGCTGGACGGTCGTCCACCGTGATCTCTCATTTCAACCGCCATCCCCCCCCCCCCCCCCATCAGTGCGCCGTCCAGCTTCCGGCTCCTCACACGCGAATTCGACGGCGTCAATGCATCTTCTCGCCCTCCTGACTGGGATCATCCTGCTGCATGCCACGGTCAACGGCAGCCCGCAGCCCAGCGCCCCGTCCCCGACGGGGTCCTCGTCCTCGTCCTTCCCCACGACGACCAAGTACCCGCTCCCCAACCTCGGGAACGTGGCCGTCCACGACCCGAACATCCTGCACCACGCGGGGGCCTACTGGCTCTTCAAGGGCGGCGTGCACCTCCCAATGTACACGGCGGCGTCGCTGGCCGGGCCGTGGACGCCGCTCGGCACCGTGCTCGACGGGCCCAGCGCCATCCCCAAACAAAACCGCAGTCGGCCCTGGGCGCCGACCGCCGTCGCGTGGAACGCCACGTTCTACTGCTTCTATTCGATCAGCAAAGCCGGCAGCCGCAACAGCGCCATCGGGGTGGCGACCGCCACACAGCTAGACCCTGGCAGCTGGTCGGACCACGGGGCCCTCATCAACACAGGCCAGGGCAACGGCTCGGACATCTACCCGTACACGGTCTCGAACGCCATCGACCCCGCCTTCATCACCGACCAGTCCACCGGCCAGCCCTACCTGCTCTACGGCAGCTACTGGCACGGCATCTACTTGGTGCCGCTGGCTGCGGACTTGCTCTCAGTCACGGAGCCGGAGCGCCAGAATACGACGACGAATCTGGTGTACGTGCCCGAGGAGAAGGTGAAGCCGGTCGAGGGGTCGTTCATGAGCTACCGCGACCCGTACTATTATGCTTGGTTCAGTCATGGCAAATGCTGTGGATTCCAGACCGGGTTTCCGGCCGCCGGGAAGGAGTAGGTCTTCCAATTCATCTGCGATTTCGTGCGCGAGAGGGGAGTCTGGTGTTGACGGGCGGTGTGTCATATCACAGGTATAGCATCCGGGTGGGACGGTCGAAGGATGTCCGGGGCCCGTTTGTGGATCAGGATGGGCGGCAGCTGACGGCCGGCGGCGGGACGGTGGTCTACGGCTCGAACCACGGGACCGTGTATGCGCCGGGCGGCGTCGGGGTTCTGTCTGGCGCCGAGGGGGATCCCGATGTTCTGTACTATCATTACCGTGGGTTACGGTCATCCCGTCGACTCGGCCGGATGTTCTGGCTAATGTGATTCTAGTCAATACCTCGATTGGGTTCGCGGATACCGTGAGTTCGAGTCGATCTTACCCAGAGATAAGATTCCGGGCTGACTCCGACTCCAGGATGCGCAGTTGGGATGGAACTTCCTTCACTACGAGGACGGGTGGCCCGTCGCGGTCTCTGGGTATGTGTTCTGGAGTGCTCCTTCGGACGGCGCTGACGGAGACCCGCAGCGATAACAGCACCGGCACGAGCGAAAGCAGCGGCGTCGTGGTGGGACCGGATTATACGCTGCATGTTGGCTCGTTCATTTGTATGTCCTTGCTTCCCTTCTCATCAATGATGCTAAGATTGAGTTCAGTCGTCTGGGGATGCCTCTGGCTCCATAGCTGAAAGCTATGCTGTGTGACTTGGGGAATTTACTTCTCGGCACCCACGTTAACGAGACGGACGATATGACACGATAACCCATTTTATTAGACTTGAGGCCTGGCGTCTCATATGCACGTTGTTTACTGGAGTCGGACACACTGTACTGTACATACTCGACTAATACTACCATCTGTACAAAACCACCTTCACGAATCTCACGGACCTAAACCCCCCATCCACACTCACCACCTGCCCCGTGGCAGAAAGCGTCGATGTTGAGATTGGGTGATGCACCATGATCTGGTGTCGGAGGTGAAGTAGGTACTGTACGGGATGTAGACCGGATATAGGATATAGGACTGGGTAAAGTCGCGCAGTCACAGGAAGGGGAAATACCCCGCTTTCGGTCGATTTAGCCATTCTGCCGTGGTTTGTTTTTGTAACTATGCATGGGAGTATATTGGTCGCGGGGAGTGTTCTGGTTCTGGTTACTGGGGTGTATTCAGGTGTAGGTGGATCCCCTGCAATTCTTGTCTACTATCCTCGGCTTCAAAAACAACTTACAACAACCTGAACTAAGCCCCGAGTACGTCCATCCAGACCCCTCCCTCACCAACACCAGTAGATCCAAATCAACACAATAATCAGCACTGAATCGCCCCACCCCCCTTAACAAAGAAGCTCACCTCCTCCAACCCCTCGCCCCTCCCTGCCCCCTCAAACTCACACCAATCCACCACCCCCTCCGCATCCCACCGGAAACTCACCCTCCCACCCCCTCTAACCCTCACCCCACTCACCTGCCCGCCTCCCCACGCCTCCGGAATCGCCGGCCCCAGCACTATCTCTTGCACCTGCACTTTCCCCCCAACCCCCCCATTCTGTGCTGCATCCAACCGCGCATAACTAAGATCCTTATCCCGCACCAACATCTCCAACACCGCCCCGACGACCCCGAAATTCGCATCCGCCTGGAACGGCACACTTCCGCCGTACAGACTCAGCCCATTCGGCCCAAAGTTCTCCTGCACGGCGAGGGCCAGCTCCGCGTATGCGTTTACGGTCTCATTGAGGCCGGCCCAGCACGCGCTGCGCCACACCTTCGCCCACCCCGTGTTCTGATCTTCGGTGCCGTTGCCCCGGGAGTACAGGGTTGTGGCGATGGCGTCGGTGACGGTGCGGTTGGTGGCGTGTGGGCTCGAGATGGAGGAGCCCGGGTACCAGCCGTAGAGGTTGGAGAGGTGGCGGTGGGTGTCGTTGCGGGTGTCGAGGTCGAGTTTCCATTCTTGGATTTGGGACCAGCTCCCGATAATGAGGCCGGGGGAGAGGTGGGGGAGGGTTTTGGAGAGGGTGGTGTGCAGGGTGTTGGTTTTGGGACGGGTGGTCAGGAGGTGGGTGAAGAGTTCGGTGAGAAGTTGGTGGTAGTGCGTGCAGCCGAATGTCTGGATTCATTTTGTTAGGGGGGTGGTGTTCGGGGAGGGGGGGTATGGGGTTGCGGTTGGGGGGCAAGGCATACGGTTGGACCATGTTCCGGCGAGTTGCACGGGTTGACGACCAGGGTGCCGTCGTGGAAGTATTCGTCAGCCACCAGCTGCGAGACCCAGAACTCGGCCACCCCGGCCAGGATCGGATACCCCGTCTCCTCGTACCAGGCTGCATCCTGCGTGTAGTCGAAGTGGTCCCACGCGTGGTGGGCGAGCCAGGCGTTCGACACGGGGTAGTTGGCCCATTGCGCGTCGTTTTTCATGCTGCACCGGAGAATTAGCTTGCCTGTTCCGCTATGCCGTGAGGATGCAGGCAGGGAAAGACTCACGCCGTATGGCCAAAGGTGTTCATCTCGTCGTGCGTCACCCAGCCCGAGCTGGCCCCGTACAGCAGCTCCGCCGTCTCCGCCCCCCGCGGCATCCACGTCTCCGTGATGTATCGCCACAGCGGCTCCGTCAAGTCCCCTAGACCCGTCTGCTCCACGGCCCAGTGCGCCATCTGCAGGTTGATGTTGGCGTGGTAGTCGCCGCTCCACGCGGGCGAGTAGGATTCCGTCCACAGGCCCTGCAGGTTGGGCGGCAGACTCCCCGGTCGCGAGGAGGAGATGAAGAGGTATCGACCGTAGTCGAATAGCAGATTCTCGACGAATGGGTCCCCGGGCAACGTGTAGGAGTTGATCAGCTCCGTGGTTGGCTTGCTGGAGGAGTTGTTCGGGTCTGGCAGGGAGAGCTCGAAGGTGCCCGAGAGCGCTTGGAAGTCTTTCAGGTGCGCCGATTTCAATGCCGAGTACGACTTTTTGGCGGCGCTTGTCGCTGTCTGCAGCACTTGCCTGTAGGGGTCTTCCCCCCGGAATGAGAATCCAGCCGCAGCGTTGCCCTTGGACGCATCGTAGTCGGTGCCGGCGGCAAAGATGAGGAATACCTCACGGTGACCTTTTGGAACGTTGACGGTGGCGTTGTTTGGTGAACAGTAGTTGCTCGAGGATTTCGCTCCCGGCACAACTACCGTCGCTCGGGCATTGTAGATCATGCCGATGGTAGGCGCGGTGACTCCGTACAGACTGATGCTATTGCCTTGGCAGGTGACATTCGGGGTCGGAGACGAGAGCTGATTCTCCAGCCCGAAAGTGATTGCCGGCAAGGATCGGTTGGATGCTAGTCGATAGACACAGACTTGATCCGGAAACGAACAGAACGCTTCTCTGCACACCTGTCGGTCAGCTCCTTTTATTAATCATAGGAAGCAGAGTATGCGCTTACCGGGTGATGTCGACATTGCCAGTCTTGAACTGATCCAGGTAAACGCCCGACTCCAAGTCGAGGCTGCGCCGGTAATTAGACACAGCCCCCATGTCTCCGAGATCGATGGTCAAATTGCCCAAAACCTGGTAGGAGCCGTAGTCCGGGAAATCTCCATAGAGAGCAGTCACATTGCCGGTTCCGTTCTGAAAGATCCATTCCCTGATCCCGGGCAAAGCGTCGGCCTTGGAGACATTCGGATTACCACCGGTATAAGCCTTGGATAGGACGTTAGTTCGTGCTAGGTCAAAGTTTTTTGTTGGGAGGTTGAGAGCACGCACTGGGTTCTCGAAAGGGCCCCCGCGCCATAGAGAATCAACATTCAGATTGACAATCTCTTTGCCGGGAAGGCCAATGGGCATTGCTATCGAGCAGATTAATCTCCACACCAGGTCAGGTGTGAACAACGAACATACCTCCTAGCCGTCCGTTGCCCAGAGGAAAGGCTGTAGTGATGATACTACTGTAATTGCCCGGAGAATCAGACCACAAAGATTTGGCTGCCGCCAGAGGCAGCACCAACAACCCGGAAACGACTGTCAAACGCATCGTTTGCTGCTGCAGAAGTCAAGACCCGAGAGACCCGGGTGCGGATGAGGGGAAGGGTCAATTTAATATCCCACGTCCAATTCAGCCGTGATGCGTCGACATCATCATCATCCTGTGGCATCCGCGGGGGATCGGACCATTGATTCTGCGGGAAAACTAGATTAGATGCAGGTTGCAGGAGACGGCCGAGAGGGGTCAAACAGTGTCATTGGAGGAGTTATCGGCGCGAGATGAATTGACCTGCAGATCGGCGCAATTGTGGCGCGGTGCTAAGCTGCTAATTTTGTGCTAAACTTGTTAACTTGCTTGCTTTTTGCCGGATTTTGGCGAGACTCCGCATTTGCATTTTTGCTGGCAATCTAAACCCAAGGTGGTCAGATCGGTCTATTGGTAACTGCTGGTAATGCTATCGACTACTGTCTGTGAATCCCATGAAATGTTCCAACTACAGCCTGCTTCCTGCTGCAGTCGCATTGGCCTTTTTCCACATTTCGATCCGGCGCTCGTGGCCTGCGTTGAACAAGTCCACCCAGGATTGTTCGAACGGGGGCAATCTGCGCCCCGGCTCGCCCTCTTTCGGCTCGCCTGCCAGCTGTCGGAGCTGTTCAAAGTACTCCTCGAACTCGGGATTTATCATCAAGAAGCCCGGTCCATCGCCCTTCTTCGCGATCCGATCCTGCTCCCATTTTTGTCGCTCTTCGTGCGGCGGTAGCTGAGCCTTGCCTGCCAGCACCCGCGCGGCTGCCACTGCTTGCCATTCGAAGATCTTGAACGTCAATCCGGCGCCAACCTATTGCCGTCAGCAGAATTCGCTCAAACTCAGAAAGAAGTACGTACGCCTCCAATAAACATTAAAGTCGGATCCTGCCGATGGAAAACGTGGAGGTACACATCGGGAATGCGATTGTTTCGCATCGGGATGCTGGGCAAGAATGGTAATGTCCAAGTGAAGCCCGTGCCAAAGATGATATAATCGACGCCTGAGACCGAGGTCCCGTCCTCGAAGTGAACAGTGCGGTCTCCGTTTTCGCAGGAGACACGCGCGATCGGCGGCCGCCGGTCGATCTGAGGATGCTTGAATGCTTCGTCTCCGAAGTAGGGATTATACTTGCCGCGAACAACGGCGTAGATGGGTGACTGAGCAGAGCCGATCAAGCTAACAGCAGTGTCTGCCGCAGACACCGAGGCTCCAACCGTGATGACTTTCTTAGGGCCATAATCAGCGATGCCCCCAAGTTTCAAATGACGATAACGCTTACCTTGCCTCGAAATTGTTCTGGACCACGATATTGTTTTGTGTGTAAGACATTCTCGGGGTACTTCTCTACGAAATCCTTGAGACCGGGGATGGCCGGTACGTATGGTACTGCGAAATGCCCCGAGGCAACAACCAGGGCATCAAAGGTTTCGCTCCACCAATAGTCTTCTCCTCCAGGCTTGCCCGCTCGTCGGAGGGTCAAGACCCATTTGTCAGACTGAGGATCTTTCACGGCGGATTCTACAGTGGTGTTGTACTCAACCAGATCTTGGTAGCCGTTACGATTGAGAAGATCCTCGACATATTGCCGAATCACCGTATGATGGCGGAACGGTGTGTCGGGCCCGTGAAGCCCAATTGACCATTCAGAGCGAACAACTGGGATCGGTTCCAGGGAATACCCCATGGTGGCAGCATCCACATTGGTATGCAGATTGGGGTAGACATGAGAGTCAGTGAAGCGATGTTGCGATGATGCCGGCGTAGACTGGGGAAGAGTTTCAGGGATCGGGAGCGGGGCATCAGCTATTCTTGCTGAGAGCTTCTCAACATCCAGAGGGACCGCTTTCTCCTCCGGTCGTGCCACCCTGTTCGTAGTGTCAATTTCTCCCAAAGCCATTATTGAGAGGAATTAAGCGAACATACCAGCATCCACCCGCCTTCTCCTGTCGCTCGAAAACACGAATTCGGTCGAAAGCTTTCTCCTGCGCCAAAGCATCGACAGCAATAGCCCCAGCCGGTCCCGTGCCGATGATGGCAACGCTTTTAACTTGCGGCATTGCGATATCTAGGTGCAAACCGTAGGCCGTAAATATCTACAGCGTGTAATGGAACGAGTTGGAAAGAATCCCAAACAATAACACCTCTTCAAAGAAATCAGTACTGATCAATTAATGTGCAATGCCTGGGTGGAATGCCTCGAGACAAAGGATATGGCTAATCATGGCGCCGGATTGCATCAGCGTGGACCACTGATAAGCCCAAGTGACATGGCCGACACATTGCTTATCAGACCCCAGGTCTCCTTGTTGGTTTCAGACTGACCTTATTCTCCGCTTGCTGTCTGCTTCTTAACTGGTGTCTTTGCTCTCTGGTGACTGAAACCTACCCACGGTGGCGCCAGTCGGGCAAAAAACCATTCAATCCCATTTTTCCCATTATCATTCTGATTGGTCGGTTCCTGGAAAGAATCACGTGTAGGATTTTGTATGCAGTGCAAAGCAATGTGATTGGATGGTAGCCGAACCCGCTCTCGGCTTAATCCCGAGCTGAGATCAACCACTATCTTGCTCTGCCGGCTTAACAACTGCTGTCGACTTCATCGAGGCAGGAGATACTGCACTTACGCAGTGAAAATCTATCGACATCAGGAGAATTGACGCAAGTATGACACGAGGCTGTGAGGGCTGCGACACGGAGACACGGAGACGACACCCTGAAGACGTCGGACTAAGGTTCTTGTTGTTTCAGATGTGTGTTCCGGGTCGACTGAGGTCACTGAGTCACTCCTCGATGTTTGGAATGCGGTGGTCAATGAACTGTCGTCAACACCGGCGTGACCAACTCAGGAACAGCTAGTAGAGCTGCATCGCCACTCATCAAATAGACCCTGCAGGCTGATCATTGAGGGATTTGCCATTCCAGGTAGTATTGACGAATACATTATCCTTAGGACAATCGGCTTATGCATGGAAATTAAATGGTCAGATGCAGGTGCCATTAGCCGAAGGTATGGCTTCCTGGCTGTATCTCGCGTAGGGCCAGCACACTCCCCAGGAACTGCCTGGAGCTGTTTGGCAGGACTATGGCACCGTATCACGGACTGCAATGAATCTCATTCAAGAATCGGAGCGGGATATTCTAACGAGTATCGAATACAGCAAGGCTCGATCTATTGCGTAGTGATAATCCTTGAACCAATCGTTGAGGCGTGTTCTAGGCGCAAGGCGAAGGCTGATCGCTACCTGTAACGCTGCGAAACCCCTTGAAAGTTTAAGATCCGATGCTCTCCAATGCTCAAAATTGGACTCGCTGCGTTGCCGACCATCCATGGAGCCAGGGTAGACAGACCCAAGAAAGGCTTAGGTTATTGTGCTTGGTTAGGAACCCTATTGACAGATGACATGCTTGTTCTTCGGTGGAATCGGCAGGAGAATGCTGTACTTTCTCCAATCATTTGGTCACAGCTGAACGGTGTAGGTTGGGCCCGTTGTAAACCTAATCTTACGCAGGCCACTAGCGAAAGCCAAAAGATTCCCTGTTTCATCTAGAAGATTTCCTTAGTCGATCATAGACAGCCATGTTGAGAAAAGCTCCAGACGTCTGACACTGTATGATGTATATTGAGGACGATCTGCCTCTGGCCTATACAGTTCGTGGCCGAGTCCCGCTGGCTTTAGCGAGGGACAGATCGACAGGCAAGAACAGGGGGGACTTTTGTGGGGTGTGGAGGACAATTCCATGATCACTGGCATTAGAGGACAACTCCACAAGAGAGCTGTATCAGGGAAGGATGATTGCCACCTTGAGAGGGTGGAGTAAGTAGAGGTGCGGAGGAGTGCAAAAGGTGGAGGGAGGGGAAAGGGTAAAGGAAGGATGAGGGAAAGTGCTGCCTCAGGGTCCAGGCAACCATCGGCTCTGGTTTCCACCTCCATCTCCACCTCCTCCAACTCCGCTCTTCTTCCGCTCGACTTCCGCTACGGCTCGAGATCCACTGTGCATGTCTCTTTTTTGAGTCTTGACCACTCAATCTCTCACGAGCCCACTTGAACAGAACTCAAGATCGTCGTTCCTGAGATTCCCATGGTTCTCTGCCCTGGGGCTAACTTCGGGGCCGTTCGATCGATCTTCTCGGGTCTGAAGTGGCTTTACCCACTGCCTACAATTTCTACCCACCATTTTTTCGCCTGAAACGCCGCGGTGGATGTCATACAGCAGTCCGTGATAATCCGCCAGAACCCTTGTCATTCCAAGAGAGTCTGACAGTATCGTGAAACATGGAGTTCCTGAAATCCAGGACCCTCTCACCGACATTGATAACCTTTCTTGGTCCCTTCCTACCTCATCCTTTTGTTCAGACCGAACTCGAGATCCAATCGATGCGATGACCTAGGTGGCACCATCAGAAAAGGGGACGACGCGTCGTGCAGGGCGCTGCATTGTCCGGTGCAAGGCAGAAAATTCCATGGATGACTGAAGCAGCGATTAAGAGGATGCTGCGAGCTGTGCAATTGATTGGTCGGCGGCTATCTATCTCCGATTCGCAGCTCCACCGACAACCAGTGCAGCTCACCTTAATCCAAGGTTGAATGGAGAGGATTTGGGGTTGAACCATTCAGGCCGAGAGAGTCCGCAAGTTCCTGTTAATCTCTACTCCTCTGACTGAAGGCCCTGAGCGTCTCCAGGTTCTGTCGGCAACTGGACTTGTTCTTCATTGGCCAGCAGTGCGATAACGTCTGCGGTGGGCGTGCCCTACTTGAGCCCTTGCGTGCTTAGAACAAAACCTCGTTTTTGGGCCTTGCGACCTGTCACGTCATTCTAGCTTCGAACCCACCGAGAGGAATCCGGGACTCACCACTGTTTCGCAACAGTGAGATCCGTCTTGCCATCAGGGTTCCTGGCAGATTGTCACGACTTGCGGCTTCGGCATATCGAAGTCATTGCTTAGCTGCGGGGCGAGACCCATCCGCTCAGAGTTCCCTTGATACAATCAGAACGATATCGGCATGTGCATGAAGAACTCATCGCTGCCAATTGCCGGCTGTAGTGCTGGACCGTCGATTCCAGTTGGGGAATAATTGTTTGTTGATCCTTCACCTTCAGCGCAGCATGATGTTCCACCAAGATCTATAAAGGCTCCTTGAAATCCCTCCTGAATATGTCTTTTGCTATCAGGCTTCAGTGCTCTCTCGATCGAATCCGGTTTTCATTCACTTCTTCCATTGTCCAATACTTTCGCTTTTACTTTACTTCTTCGCTTCAACCAACAATCCTGCAACATGAAGCTTCAGAACGTCGCTCCTCTATGCCTTGTAGGCTGCGCCCTGGCCTTGCCCGCCAACGTCGATAAGAAGAGACAGGATCTCTCCGGCTTTCCTCCTATTCCAACTGGGCTTGTGCCGTCTGGGCTCATTCCCTCGGGACTTCCAATTCCTTCTCAGGGCCCGGGATTCGAGCTGCCCACACTGACTGTTCCCTCGGGCTCGCCCGTCGAGAAGCGCCAGGACCTGACGGGCCTCCTCCCCTCGAGCATTCCTCTTCCCTCTGGGTTGACGGAGATTCTGTCCCAGCTGGGTATCACCCTTCCTTCGGATATTCCTCTCAAGAAGCGCCAGGAGCTGTCGCAGATCTTCCCCTCCGGGGTTCCGATCCCATCCGCAGTGACTGGTATCCTGTCCGACTTGGGCATCACCCTCCCTTCGGATATTCCTCTCAAAAAGCGTCAGGAACTCGAATCTCTTCTCCCTTCTGGCACCCTTCCCTCTGGTCTGCCCATTCCTAGCGGTGTGAACGATATCTTGTCCAACCTCGGAATCACCCTACCCTCAGACTTGCCCATCAAGAAGCGTCAGGACCTGTCTAGCATCCTCCCATCCGGCCTTGCAATCCCATCCGGAGTGACCGACATCTTGTCTGACCTGGGTGTCACTCTTCCTTCGAGCCTGCCTCTGAACAAGCGCCAGGACTTGGACTCGCTGATTCCCTCCGGCATCATTCCCTCCGGCCTCCCGATCCCCACTGCAGTCACCGGTATCCTGTCCGACCTGGGTATCTCTAAGCGTGACGACAAGCAGCCCGAGGCCGTGCCCACCGGTGGATCCGCCTCTACCAATGCCACCCAGCCCAGCAGCAGCAGTCTTCCCAAGCCCACCGGTATCCCTGTGCAGCCTTCCAGCGGCGGTGTCATTGAGCCCCTTGGCGACACCTCCAAGTCAGTTCAGAACTTGACTGAGTCCGTCACTGGCAGCAGCTCCGTTCAGCCTTCTGGCGCCGCTCCGCAGCCTACTGGCACTCCCGTTGCTCCCTTCCCCGGCTCCCCCGAAGTCTCCGCTGCCGCCCCCAGTTCCTCCGCTTCGGTCCGCAGCGCTTTCCCTTTCCGGGCTTGAATGAATGAACCTACTGAGTAGGGTTCGCGGTCTTGCAACGGTATCACGATCTACGATGGCTGCAGTCCAAGGGTGATATCCAACATACCGTTTGCATGACTCTACATGTATGAATCGATTGGTGGATTCCGGCTGGCCGGCGTTTCTTGTTTGTCTACGGCCATGGGTTATCTGGTGGTATGGGGTCTGTTTGTATTGGAATAGGCTTAGATAGTTTTGAGTTCAATGGAGTTTTTGTTGCGTTTTCTGATCTCTTGTTCCGCTGACTGCCGCTGTAAGGCTGGCTTTATACATAAGTTTGATACACATGATTGTCCTTCAGACAGCGTTCCCCCAAAACCATCGTCAATGCCTCCGCGTGTCTCATCTAGGTGATCCTCTTTTGGATCGTCCCTCCATAATCAGGTTTGCCGTTTGTTTGGGTCCTCTGTCGTATGGATGTTTTGCCATAGAGGCTATCTGTCGTATGAGTGCTATCTGTCGCAACGATGTATATTGTAAAGTCTTTGTCGAAGCTTGTTTGCCGTACGGATGTTTGGCGTAAGGCTTTGTATCGTATAGCTCATTCCCCATTCAACGTTGTAAGAATGTTGTCACATCGACACCGTCCCTCCTTCACGTGTCGCCATCGGGACGTTCCGCCTTCCAGGCACCCCTTCAGAACCGAGCAGCCTGCTCCACCCTCTCCTGCAACGTCGTAGCCGCCTTCATCAGCCGCTCCGCCTGGTTCAACACCACATACCAGGCATCCCGATCAAACCGCGGCTTCGCACTGGCCGCCGCAATAATCCGCCCGATGCTCGCCGCCATCCGCTCCATCTGCTCCACCGCGAACGAGCAGTAGTACATGTCGATCTGGAGTTCTGCACTCCCCACAAATGCCTGATGCAGCGACTGGTAGAACAGCCGGGATCGCTCGATCGTCTCGGTGCTGAGCCCATGCAGCTGCGCCATGCTTGGCAGCTCGCGGAGGCAGGTCTCGCACCGGCTCATGCCCTCGAGCAGGTGGATGACGTACTCGATGTCGTCGGCCCGGAACTGGGTTCCGTGGGTGGTCGGGTATGGCCCCTGGAGGTGCGCGCGCAGCCGGTCGCCTTTCATCGGCAGGCAGACGCAGGACACGGGCTTGCCGCTGCAGAATGCATCCAGGACGAGCTTTGCGTAGTTGTTGGGCTGGCTGTAGAGGTCTTTTGGGCGGGTTAGGCGGGTTGAGGCTGAGCTTGCTAGGGCTGTTGCCGTTTGCCCGTTCTTGTTGTTGTTGTTGTTGTTGTTGTTGTTGTTGTTGGTATTTTGTTCGACCTTCCCTGATCGAGATGGAAGAGTATAGGCCATTTTGGCTGGTGGATAATGGTGGGCCATGGCTGAAGCGATGAACACGACGCTTCGTGATTGGAGCTTTGATGCAAAAGCTTTGAGATTCTTGCGATTCATTTTGGAGGAGTGGGGGTTTTTTTTAGAGGAGGGTTGAGGAGCGTGAGAGGAGCTTGGGGATTTGAGGAGGTTGATTATTTGGAGGAGCTTGGAGATTCGCTCGACTCAGTGGTTTTAGTGGTTTTTTGCTTTGGCTCAACTCGGTGGTTCTTGTGGGTTTTTGGTTGCGCTCAACTCGGTGGTGTTTATGGTGGTTTTTGTTTTGCTCGACTCTCAAGATCTGTATGAAGACCGGCTCGACTCGGAGGGTTTTAGTGAGGCTTGAAGAGAATCAAGGGAGTTGTAGGAGAGAAGAGAATTCGAAGGGAGCCCGGGAAAGCGAAGAGCAGTACACCCCCCTGAGCGAATCTGACTCTATACTATCGTCATACCGGAAGTGTGTTCCGTGTAGGAGCATCAACGGCTAGGGCATCGCGCCCTGTGTTGCAACAGTTGCACTTGAGCAGTAACAGTAGCATTGTTTTCGAGCAAAAGAAAGCCTAGTATCCATGGACCCGTGCATGAACTTTTCCGATGCTGTATGTATAGGATCATCGGACACTAGGTGACCAGAAGATGCAACCAGCACTGCAATGTCCATCTCCAATATATCCTCCCAACTCTTCGAACTTCAGAAGCAGCCACATCTGAACAGAGCCTTGTAGAAAGCCTATAATGTAGATGCAGTCTGCACTTTAAGCGACGTTCCTTCTATACTCCGTACATTTTATGTATAATATGATGTACAGCATATTATACCAAATTACAGCCCGATCTGCACATTGCTTCCACCAGTGCAGCGCAGAGACCTGTAAAATCCGTGGCCACGGAGGGTAAGTTCAACCTCGATCAGAATCCATGGATTTTGCTGTATTCAAAATTCTCGGTGCCAAAGCTAGCAGGTGAGAAGCAAACTGCGGGGATGATATCAAAAGATGATATCAAAACCAGAAATCGGATTTCTAAATATAGGCCTTGAGGCTTGGGTGGCTGTTTGCTTACTGCGGTCGTCCCAAGGATCATCATATCTGGGGTGATACTGGACAAGAGATTGAAAGATGGACCCGAAAAAAGGTTATAAGATGTGTGGTGAGAAAGGAACAAGTGCATTGTTTGAGGAAGGTAGATGATCTCATAGTTTCATGCTAAAACCCACAGTGGGTGGAATGGCGGGGCTACAGGGCTGAGCCTGGAAGTCTTGGTGACTTACAGGCAGTAAATTACTGAGACACGCGTCAACCACTCAACCACTCACCCCCCTGCAGTCAAGCCAATTGCTGCTGATCCTGCGGTCTTTATTTTCTCCTCCGCCCGATTTCCCCTCTCCGTCACTCGTCACTCTCTTTCTGTCTCACCACTTCTTCTCCTCTTCATCATCTTTCCACTCCCCACCTCCCCTTCTCCCCTTCTCTCCCCCTCGCCATCCTCTGCATTCTAGACATCTTTCGCTTCGTCTAATAGCTCCTCATCCTCCCTTTGCACAGCCTGACCGAGTTCAATAGAAAGCTCCTTTTCCGCTCTCGCACCGCCCCAGCGCCCGCCCTCAGCAGACGTCACACACCCCACGGGACCTTGGCAATTAGGCAGACGCTTTCCACTGTTTTTTTCCACCTTCTAGAAGTTTTCGAAGCTATTCTTACATATAATCCTGGCCCTGATCTCTTCACGATACCAAGTCGGCCCATTATTGTTTCTTGGTGACAGTGATTCAACTGGACTGTCGCCCACGATGGCCGCAACGAACTCCTCCGCCCCTCTTCTTCCCAACGGAACCCAGTCGGTCGGCCTCGCGACCGACGCACCCTCCACAACGATTAATACAACCACCAGCCAGATCCTGACCGGGAAGCAAGAACATTGTCAGTACCTGCCCCAGCACCCTGCGGACATGATTGCTGACGGTCGCAGACCTCAAGCGCGAACTCATCGCCCGACAAGTCCAGAGCGAGATCGCCGAATTGAACTCCCCTACAGCCCTGCAACGCTTCGGTGCCCCCTTCAAGTCGGAATTCGGTGAAGTCGCCCCAGTTGATTCCGAACTGCCCATCCTCCGATATATCTTCGTGCACCACGTGCGCAACTTCCCCTTCCTGGACAAGGCTCGCGAGAAGGAATTCTGGCAAGATAAGCTTCAAGTGGTGCGTATATTCTGGACCATTGAGCATCTACCCTATCGTACAAAGCGCTAATCGCAAGGTTCTAGTTTCTCGAGTCGTTCGCAAAGAAACATGTGTCTTCGTCGGAGGATCGCCTAGAAGAGACGAAGCGCAGAAAGCTGGCGCGCAAATGCGAAAAGCTGGTCGAGCTGATGATGGTCTCTGGAATTCCTACTGCTTCGGGCTATGAAGAACGCATTCAGTTTTCCGAGATGGAAGTCGTGGATCGCGGGGCCAACGAAAAGGGTTTGTTGGTCAATATGCCCGAAGGAAACTCCATTCACGGATGGGACATCAATGTGGCTGCGGTCCGGGTTACATCGATTAGACGGACCGTGCGATATCATCAACATGCAGTACGTTCAGAACAATCTTCGGGCAACTGAAGAACATTTTTAACACGTCTGGTTAGGAATTCATTATTCGGGTGCGCCGAGATGGGAAGCAGGATACCTTCGTGGCTCGTCGATATGGCGATTTCTCTAGGCTTCACAAACGGTTGCGCACTGAGTTTCCCGGAAAGCCACTCCCCCCACTGCCACGCAAGAACAAGTCTTCATTGACATCCAGCATATTTGGCTCCGCCGACGACGAAGCCTCATCAATTTCGTCGGTTTCCACTCAAGACACGAGCGCAATAGACGACGGCTACTCATCTCGCAACCTGGCGCCCGGCAACCACCATACTCGTTCACTGTCACGGTCTTCCATGCGGTCACTCAGGTCGCCCAGGGCTTCGGGAGACGCGCCTCGGGATACGGTGCTCTACAGAGAGGAACAGCGAGTCTCCCTTCGAGCGTTTCTCCGTACTTTGCTGCAGAACAAGCGGGTGGCGGACACCAAAGCTCTTGAGGACTTCTTGACTACCAACCCGATTACTCTGAATGAAGAGGAGAAAATGGACATGCAGAAGCGCAAAGAGGTAGATGCTGTGCGGATTGAGGAGCAGAAGCGGTTTTATGAGATCGCGAGAGCGCGCGCGGCTGAGTTGGATGCCTACATGGAGAATTTCCGCCGGGATATTGTCGAGAGTAGTAAGTTTCGACTGTATCCTGCTCAAGTGCTACTTTACTGATCAACTCCAGATGGATTGACGAGACTCTTTGCTGAAATCAAAGAGAAGCCGACAGTGGAGGATTTGAGCCCACAATACCAGAAATTCGCCGAATGGCTACGCATTGAAGTTGCCGCCACGCTCTATCATCTTTTCCTGGCCGAAGATAATTCTCCTGAACTTTTCGCTCAGGCCAAGAGGATCCACTCTCTTGTCCCTTACAGTCTGCTGAAAAACGTGATTCGCATTGCTAACCCGGCAGCTGTGATGTCAGGGGTATTGGACCTCTTCCTGGCTCAACCTTTTGGCTCCCGGTCACTACTCCAACGCATATTCTCTATGACTTTGAACGACGGGATCAGAGCCTTCCAGAAGTCAATCGATGCGCTGGCCGCGACGGTTGAAGATCCTGTCCTTTGCAAAAAGCTGAAGGCATTCACCGACGCCGACGAAGAATTGAAGAATGAGATCCGCGCCGAAGCCACTGCTGAGGATGTTGACATCATTGTGGCAATTCTCAAGACGGAGCTTATCTCTCCTGAATTGACCCCAGAACAGTTTGGTAAGGTGTTCAATGCATACGTGGCCTGGAATCAGGCTGTCGAGAGTGTTGATGCGGAAATGCGAGAAGGCGCTCATTGGTTTGCCAATCTCAAGCAGCTACTCAAACTCTACACCCGCCAGCGGGACAAGACTATGATGCTCAGCATCGTAGAGGAGCCGGTTACTCTGCAGCTCTTCCGCGACCTCTTCACAATTTTCTACGAGCCGCTCGTGAGGGTCTACAAGTCGGCCAATGTCTACAACAGTATCACGGACTTTGCACGCTTCGCGGATGACGCCATCGCCGTGATCGAAAAGTGCCATCGACAGGATGTGTCTGCCGACCCCAACCAGACTGTTCAGGCCTTCATCGATCTTTGTGAGCGCCACCAAAGCAGCTTCTACAAGTTTGTGCATGAGGTGCACTTGCACGACAACGGTCTGTTCGGATCTCTGATGGCATGGATCGAAGACATTCTCGAATTCTTGCGCAAAGGACCACGTGGTGGCAAGCTGGACATGAATGCCCTACTCACAGGAGCAAAGGATGTGGGCCAGATCGACAAAGACAAGGCATTGGATGAGATCAACGCTCTTATCAAATGGCATGCCGATCGGAAACGGTGGCACCTCAACAAGACCAGACAGAAGATGGCAGCCGAGGGGACTGGCAATGAGATCATTCCTGGTAGCACGACCTTCAGGAGCAGTGACTTTGGTTTGGATGAGGTATGTGAATTCTTGTGTCAGTTGTCGAGGCAAGTGGGGTATTTGCTAACAACTGCTCCTTCTAGGCTGATCTCGAGGATCTTGCCATTTCGGACGAAGAGTCTGACGCGTCCGATGAGTTGGATGACGAGGATGATCTCGATCCCATCACGGCCGAGCGGAGACGTCGGGTCAAGAAACAGGATCAGCTCCGGCGTACGGCGGGTGAGCCTGTCAAGCCGGAGATCCAGGAGATACTCAAACTATCAGATTCGTTTGGTGTTATGTTGCGACAGGTGCTTGCGGATTAGATGCACATGCATTGTTAAGATACCCTAGAGTCTCTAGATCACTCATACACAGCGTTTATATAGTTCTGGTTGTTGGCATTCGGGCATGGGTTACATATCGGGTGGAGTAGGTAGGGAAGTTCTCACATGGGTCAAGACTAGCTTGATACTGTGTCTTCACAAAGCTATAGTAATCTTAGTATAAATCCATAATTACATGAAGAATTCTATGGAAGAGCACTGGGTTCAGAAGAAAAAGGCGGTTGGAATAAAGTGGGAAGCGGGCCGGCGGATCAGTGAATCAATCCGTGAACCAAATCAGTTATCCGAGACTTCAGTTTCCATGGCGACAATCTTTGACAGGGGCCACTATACAGAAGTTATCTTCCTCTCATCCTCTCTGGCGTACTTATATGTCTGCATCTACTCACCTAACACCTGACCCAATCCACTTCTTGTTGCATCCTAGCCATGATTTCCCCGTCGCCTCGCAAGGCTATTCGCCTGAAAGGGCTTTTTGTGGAGGGGATGTGGCACTGCAATTGTCCTGATCGGAAGCCTGCGAACAAGTTCCAAGTCAAGAATCACGGGACAAACCATGGTAGATACTGTATGCTACGCGTCTTTCCTTTTCTCTGACTACCCGGGAATGCGATGGACTGAGCGACTAATCGCGGGCGCTGCCCCTCCTTCTCTTCTGCTTCTCCGCAGTTTACACATGCCAATCCCAGAAATGCGACTTCTTCCTCTGGGCCAGCGACGCCGAGCTGCGCGAGAAAGCCACCGTCCTCTCCAATTCTCGATCCGAGCCAAACCCCGCAACGACACAGACTACTCCGACCAAGAGACCCCGAGTCTTCCACGGGCTCCTTACCCCACAGACAGAGCCGCGCATCCATCGCCACAGCCCCGCAACGGGCGGCGGGCAGCAGCAGCAGCAGCAGCTCAACGACATGTTCTCCCGAAGCGCCAAGGCGCGCATGATGTCAGAAGACATCGATGAATTCGAGTGGGACGACGAGGTTGGGGCCGAAGTAGGCAAACTGTTGGACGTGAAGCCCATCCGCCAGCCTAACTTCGGACCTCCAAAGGCTCACCAGGGTCCCGCTCCTCGCGCTCCCCAGCCGCCGTCCTTGACATCCCCGGCGAAGCGAAAGTGGTCGGATGCGGAAGACGATCACGAACTTAGACTCGGCCGTCCTACCTCGACCGCCTCATTTGCGCAAATCACACCCCGCCCGCGTACCGATCGCATCCCATCCTTCTCGTCGACGGCGACCGTGGCGCCGCCCTCATCCATGGAGATTTCGATGTCCCCGACTCCGGCTCGGTTCCGAGATGCGATGGCTGGGGGAGATGAGACGCCGCTGGACGCATCGCAGCTGGCTTCGCAGGCTGTCCGGATCTTGGAGAATCATCGATTAGCTCTACCCAAGCGGGCGCAGGAGGAGCTTGTGACCCTTCTGGATAAATATGATCTGAAGATGAAGGGGATTATCCGGGGACGAGACATCTCGCGCGTGGCGTTGAAGAAGAAAGATGAGCAGATTGAGCAGTTGAATGCACGACTTGCGACGTTGGAGGGGCGAAGATAGGGCAACGCTTTTTTTGCCTTTGCAGGGATATATGATACCATGTTTCGATGTATTTTCTTTTACTATTTTACTTAGTCGTCCGTGCTCGTTCTTGCTCGGTGCTACGCTATAGCTCTGCGCGGGCCATACTGTTTCCCTTAGTCTGCTGTGCGGACGGTGATTTGACTACTGTATCTATTATTGGCCTGATGAGCAAATGTTCCCATTCATGATTGACACGACTATATCCTATTGAGTTCACCACGATCGATTGAGGACTGCATCATGTGATTGTGAGGCATATAGATCTTATCCCCATCACGTGCTGATAAGCGGGCCTCCACAGTCTTGACTCCATGATTGGAATCGAAAAAAAGTCACGCCTAGACAGCCTCCGACCACGCGAATACCCCACGACCAGTCGATCCGTGCATGATCAATGTCCAGCAGACCTCCGAAGCGCATCAAATCGCAGCATCAATCCCCCTCGACTCCGATGTCCAAGGAAACTGACTCCGAGACCAAGCCGGACCGCAGCGACATCCCCGCCATGTTTCGGCCCCCCGTGAATCGCACCATGCGCGTGCTGGACCGGTCGTTCTTCAAGCGAACGGTGCCGGTCTCTGCTGCCACGATCTTCAAGACCTCGGATATTGCGACTGTGCGACAAGCACTGCACAAGAAGCGCGACTTGTTGGCGCTGCCCAGGATGGCTACGCTTCGGGATATCAAGCAGGATGATGTCGTGCGCAAATGCTTGTTGCTGCGCGAGGAGATCAAGCATGACGGTCGGTCTATTTTCTCTTTGATGTAGAGCAGCGAGCTGATGGAAGGCTTAGATACGGCGACCTGGTCTCCTACCATCTCCGACTTAGTTGAGAAGGGCATGGTGAGCGTTGGCCCTTACGATTTGACGATTGACTATGATTATTGGTCCTATGGTTCGTTACGATTCTACCCCGATGTGCAATTTCCGTGGACTAATATCCTCCCAGCCGATCTCATGGCGTCCATTCTCCCCGAAGAGCTGTGCGACGAGATCCCCCAGGGCTTCACCCAAGTCGGGCACGTCTGTACGTATTGTCTCCCACCGCCAGCCAGGCCGTAACTGACCATTCCACCCAAACCAGCCCACCTCAACCTCCGCGAACAATACCTTCCCTACAAACAGATCATCGCCGAGATTCTCTTGGACAAGAACCCCACCGTGAAGACGGTGATCCGCAAGACCGACGACGTGGGCTCGCACAGCCAATTCCGCACCTTCCCCTTCGAGCTGCTCGGGGGCGTGAACGACCTGAACGTCATCCAACACGAACAGAACTGCGAGTTCCGGTTCGACTACTCGCGGGTGTACTGGAACAGCCGGCTGGAGACGGAGCACCGGCGGCTGGTGGACAAGTTCCGGCCTGGGGAGATGGTGTGCGACGTGATGGCGGGCGTGGGGCCCTTCGCCGTGCCGGCGGGCAAGAAGAAGATCTTCGTCTGGGCCAACGACCTCAACCCGCACGGCTACGAGGTCATGCAGGACGCGATCCAGCGCAACAAGGTCGACAAGTTCGTGACGCCGCACAACCTGGACGGGCGCGACTTCATCCGGTCCTCGGCCCGCCGGCTCCTCGCCTCCCCGCTCACCGTGACGATCGAGCCCAAGGTCCGCCGCAGCCAGAAGGACACCGCCCCGCCGCCGGAGGTGTTCCACCGCCCCACCGTCTTCCAGCACTACGTGATGAACCTACCCGGCAACGCGATCGAGTTCCTGGACGCCTTTGTCGGGGTGTACGCCGGCGAGGAGGCGCGGTTCGCGCCGCACACGGCGCAGCCGCTGCCCAAGGTGCACGTGTACTGCTTCTCGGGCCATTCCGAGGACGAGCACGACGACCATGTGGACATCTGCCAGCGCATCTCGGAGCGCATCGGGTTCGAGATCACGACGGAGGACCGCGTCGGGGGCAGCGGCCGGCAGGAGCTGGAGCTGGCCATCCACAACGTGCGGCTGGTGAGTCCCAACAAGCAGATGTTCTGTGCCAGCTTCCGCCTGCCGGAGGAGGTGGCCTTCAAGAAGGTTGCATAAAGGATGGATCCGACGGACATTCTGTTTTACAACTGAACACATATTTGTCGTGGTATATTGCATAGCCTACATGTATAAAGGGCGTTATTCAATTTGATTAGAGAGTGTAGAAAGAAGTTACCAGAAACCCCAGTGCAATTTCTAAAAATGATACCCTACACATCGTTCCTTTACATGGTGCCCAGATTATGAATCTTAGCCTTGCAAACATTGTCTACAAATATTTCAAGCAAAAACAAAAGAAAATGTATATTATACGTATACCTAATACTCTTCCTATCTCACCTGGTAGGTGGTCGATAATGATGTCGTGATAAAAGATAATGATACGTACCCAAAAAAAACCACCCCTCACCGCCCTCCCCCACTCACTCCGCCCACCGCAAGCTGGTCGACCTTACCTTCACCGCTCTCTCCTCTCCCAGTTCTCTCTCACCTGGGCTTTGTCCGTCCGAAAACAAACTCGGCACCTCCGCGTCCAACCAACCCCTCACCGAATATAAATCCCCGACTCCATCAGAGCCCATTGATTCAAGCACAAGCTACGAACCCCGAACCGCAGCTACGAACGAACGAACGAACAAGACGAAAGCAACGGGCACCGCAGGCACAACATGAACTTCCAACTCCCCGCCCCCACGCACCGCAAGCGCACCCTCCCGCAGGGCGAACTCGAGGCGGCGTCGACGCTGCGCCTCGGCGCGGACCAGAACACCCATACGCTGTCGCTGTCCGAGGCGCGGCTGGTGATCAACAAGGTGTTGGAGAATAAGCGGCGCGGGGGGAAGAAGTATGAGGAGCCTGAGTGAGTATTCTTTTGTTCTGGGGGGTTTTCTTTGGGGGTAATATCTTGGCTGGGTTGGGATTTGGGAAGGGGGGGAGGGGGGTTCAGGCTCGAGGAGTTTGAGAGTTATCATTGGGGATGGAGGGATGAGACATATACCATTTAAAGAAAGTTTCAGGCTGATAATCTCCAACCCAGAAACCTCACGAAAACCCTGGACTACCTGGAGGTGTTTGCGCGGTTCAAGGACGAGGAGAACATCAAGGCGGTCGAGCGGTTGTTGAACTCGCATACGGAGTTGGAGATGTTTGAGCGGTCGCAGCTTGGTTCGTTCCCTTTTTTCTTCATCTGTGTTTCCTTCCCTTGGGGAATAATTCCCTCGAGGAACAAGACCCGTCTGGGGGGAAGCTCAAGGCAGAACTAACGTTCCGGCCTGCAGGCAGTCTGTGCTGCGATAATGCGGAGGAAGCGAAATCGCTCATCCCCAGTCTGCAGCATAAGATCTCGGATGCGGATTTGCAGGAGCTGTTGGATGAGTTGACTAAGTTGCGGAATTTCACGGAGTAGAGGTGAGGTGGCTGTTATCTGCTTCGGGGGTTTGGCTTGAAGGTTTGGGAGGGGGACAGGAAATTCTAGCATGGAGTTCTGGTGTTGTTTTTTTTTTTTTTTTTTTTTTTTTTTGTTTCTTGTCTTGTTGTTGATGTGTTGGTCAATTTGTTTATGGCAAGGGAATCATGTCGTCATGGGATGGGCAGAAAGTGTAGACTACTACTAGGTCAAGACTCGTACTGTGTATATAGTAGATGTGATGTACTCTAGTATCCATGATGACCCCAAAAATCTCTTAAAGGCGATCGCATCGTTCGGAAAGTCAATCAAATCGCCGGATGTCACACCAAGCCAATAAGAGGCGTGATATAGTCGGTTCAAGCTCATGAGATAATCATTGACCTGTAGGTATCAGCCAGGCATCGGGACGAGGCAATCCTAAAACTTGGGCTATTAACTCGGACGAGAAATTGAGTCATCCTCCTGGTCATTAAGTAATGAGAATTGGAACCGGGGCATGTGTCGCAACTCCGGGGAACTAGAGAGGGAACTAGACCCCAAGTTCTCAGTTAGCAAGTACCGTATACGCATACTTCGTATTACTAGGAGGTATGGGCAATTGTCTGATTCTTGTTCCCCGGAACAAAGCAAAGCGATAAGGGTGGTCCAACACAGACACAATCCAACACAACGACCGTGCGAGATGCCCCCTGCTCTGCTGGGGAAAAAGATGAGATCCGATCCTCAGCCACGGAGTCTGTGTGTCAAAGTATAAGTACGAAGGGGATGTTAGAGTTGGTGGTAGTGGTGGTCTCTTCTTTCTAAATGTGACTGATGGATTGAGGTAAGTTCTCGGACAGCTCTCCTCCGGCCTGCATTTTCATTATTAAGGACTGGCGGCAGAGCTGCCCAAGGAGGCGGTCGCCCACCAATCATCCGCTGGCGAGATGCATTGCTCTCTCAACTGTGTATGACTTCAAGTTTAAGTTAAGGTACCTTCAATTCGGTTCAATTGGCCATTGCAGTTCCAAGTCTGGCCGGCGAGGCTGTGGGGAAAGAAAAGCCGCCGCTGCAGGGCCGATCCCCGTTGCCGGTTTGCCGCTATCCCTCTTTGGGCTCATTACTGCCTGTTTGATTGGTGTCTCAATAGCGTTATCGGGATGATGTGATTGGAGGCTCTGCTGAGTAATGCAGGTTTCCCGAGAGGCGCACCAGTCACAGTCGACGCTCCTCTTTCCCCGGCTCATTCTCCGTCCCAATCCCATCTCAGCATCTCAGTACAATCGGCATGTCTCTCATGCTTAAGTGCTTAGTGTGTCGGAGGGAAGCAGATCGGATCTTGTATTCTGAATGAAGCAAAGCGAAGCAATTGCCCCAGCCCAGATTCAACCACTGCGCCATCCTGATCATCATCATTCCAGTCACCTCAATGTAATTAAACCTACCTTAGTAGGTATTTAGCCAGAAGCCGTGAAACGGTCAACCACACTTTCGAAACTCCACGGGGGGAAGAGGATTCCAGTACGTAATACCAAGTCCCCTCGGTTGCCCCCCAGACCACCAGATCCAATCACGCCCGCCCGGCTTATCGCTTCCAGCAGTCGAAGGGCGCAGGAACTGGCGGCGAACAACTTGCTGTTACGTGTGGGAAATGCTCTCGATGGAGAGAGTCGGATCCCTCCTCGCTGATCGATCGCTTCATCCGGAGATTCTCTTATTGATCCTGATGACTACCGCGATTGCGGCGTAGAGTCATTCGGTCATCGCCAGTATATTATTATGAGTCCCCAGGGCTGGGGAAGGGGGGGGAAGGGAGGGAATCACTTGGGAAGTTGCCCTTCTTCTTCTTTTTCTTTTTGGTTTGCAGTTTTGCAAGTTAAGCAGGAGAAGAAAGAACAGAAGAAAAGAACGAAACCGGATTCCTGGTGGATGCTATAGTTATATACTACTAGGTATCCTATCCAAGTCTCTGGGAATCCGAAACAGGAACAGTGTGATTGATTGATTGACTGACTACACTACACTACACTACACTACACTACTACTATCTATTCTCAGCTCATCAGTCTATCCTGATTATCTATGATTGATTATCGAATTCGATTATCATCAACCTCGTCACTGTCGTCACCATCATTCCAAGAATATTATTATTATTTTGTTGTTCCTCAGGCACTGGCACTGGCACTGGCACTCCCTCGCGCCTTCCCGATTGAGCTGCTCCGGTTCCGCTGCTCTTGCCTGAAGTGATCAATCAGTGTTGTAACTCAACACTCACACTCTCTTCTCTCTTCTCTCTCTCTCCCTTCCTCCCACGCTCTCCTCCAACCTCTCTCTTACTTTCCTACCCCCTTCTTTTATCTTTTCTATTCTACCACGCCCCTCCTCTAACCCGACGACACCAATTGAACCCCGTTGCTTGGTCGTCCGGCTATTTTCCCTGATAAGCTTCTCCGCTGCGGTTCGTACTTGGCCCCCCCATCAAGCCCCGGCAGCTATTGGTCGGTGCGTTGGAACTATCGCCCGCCGCCCTCCCCAGAGGCAGGAATACCGACTCCCTCCAGGCCAACTCTCACTGCCAACCACCACGGCATCAGCATTATTCCCCCCCCAGATAATCCCCCCTGTTCGGGGATCAGACATCATACAGGGACTCCGGCCTGACTACGAGTCAGCCGTCCCTCTAGATTGATCTTCCGTCCCTGAGATTGCGGAGCCCTGTGACGGCGGACGTTCCGGGTCGCCCCGGTGCCATTTACGTGACCCCGAGTCGCTATCGTGCAGTCTTATTATCATTTGTATTCTCATTATTACTGCCTATCTGCGATCAACGATTCGTGAGATTGGCACACGATCTATCGCCTATCTCTCACCTCCCACTCCTCCCCCTGTCCTGTTTCTCCCCGTATTCCCCCGGACCTATCTCCGTGGCCTGGCCTATCGCCCTATCAACTACCTGGCGCTCGACCTGTCCATTCCTGCCTTCCTGAATGGCTGCTGTTATCACCCTGCAGTCGTCCTCGACGACTGGCCCAACAGGCCCTTCAGCAGCTTCTTTCCAACACTCCCCTTCCTCGGACCACCAACTACTTCGTCCCCGGATCCAGCAGCCCTCCCAAGTCCAACAACCACCACCTACCCCCCAGCCCGGTTCTCTATCCACGCCACACTCGCCTGTATCTTCGGTGGGAACGCTCCCTCGTGTCACCGCGCCAGGTCGGGATGGGTCGAGTTGTGACGCATGCGTGCGCAGAAAGAGCCGGTGTGCTATGAACGAAATGGTGAACAAGTGTTATTCGTGCGACTTTCATCGGCAGGACTGTACCTTCACTCTGGCGGTGGCCAGTCGCCCCGGCACGGCCGAGTTGCAGGCGAAGAAGCGGAAACTGGACGAGACCGAATCCGAGGAGCTGGGATCGCCTAAGAGGTATGATTTCACCGGGCACGGCCGATCTCGGACTTGGACTCGAGATATAGTAGGACTTTCAGCTAATCAACATCCCCGCCGCCAGGTTATCTACCCTTCCCCCAGTGCTGGCCAAATCCGACCCGGTCCGCCCACCCTTGAATCACACCCTCCCTCACCACCAACCTAATCATCAATCGCCCACTGCCTCCTCGTCGTTCTGGCAACATTCCACCCAACATATCGGCCTCACCACCGACCTAGAGCCTGCCCTCCTGGAGTTCTTGCCCTTGGATCAGAACCAAGAAGGGTTCGTGGCTACCTCCCGTGTGCGGAAGTTTAGTGACGACGGCACCTTCATGCGGGTGGTCAGCACTCGATCGCCCGCGGACTCACCGCACACTGCTTCCCTGGACGCCATCGAGAGCCTGGTCGCTCCCTATGGCTCCACCTTAGTGGAGAAGTATTTCGAACATGTCCATCCCACCTTCCCCGTTCTTCTCGAAGACAGTTTCCGACAGTCCTATCGGGCCCGGAGTGGTCTGTCACCACTGCTTCTCTCTGCTGTCTATGTCCTCGCTTTGAAGTTCGTCGATGTTGGCCCCGCGTCTCAGACCATCCGGCGTCCCGATGCCGGTCGCTTGGAGAGCACGGCCCTTCGGCTCTTGGTGGAGTCGCTCCCCTATGCCTCCATTTCTACGATCCAGGCGGGACTGCTTCTTATGCAGAGGTCAAACCTAGCCACAGCCGCGTTGACTGCGCAGCTGGTCACGGCCGGCTTTGAGCTTGGCCTGCACCAGGACTGCTCTAATTGGCGCATGGACACATGGGAGAAAGGGCTCCGAAAACGCTTGGCATGGGCCCTATACATGCAGGATAAGTGGTCCGCGCTTGTGCATGGACGGCCGTCTCACATCTTCGCCTCCAATTGGATGGTCCAGGACTTGGTGGAGCAGGATTTCACCGACGCTTTCGCTGCCTCAGCACAACACGACGATGCGCCCGTCGGCCACGGCCCGCTATCCTTCTGTCACATGGTGGCTCTGACCACCATTCTCTCCGATATCTTGGATCGTTTCTACACTTTACAGGCGATTGAGGAATTTAAGGCGGCGGGAAACAATCGGACGCGGATGATTCTCGAGCGTGCCAAGCCGGCCCAGATTCGGTTAAAAGAATGGTTTGGCCGCCTGCCGTCGGAGTTAAAGATGGACTCGGGCGGCGATTTGTTCGAGGTCGTCACTGAGGACAACGCTCGCAACGGTGCCTTGCACCTAGCCTACTTCGCAACGGAGATCACCCTACACCGCTGCATTGTGCGGTCGCTGGCGCCGGAGAACGCCGACGCCTACTTGTCCCACATCTGTCGCTCCGCCGCCAAGACGCGATTGATCTCCGCAATGGACTTTGTCAACCGACTCCGGCCTTCCCACTTGCGGTCCTTCTGGCCGGCGACGGCACGGACCAATTTTGCTCTGATCGGCTCCTTCGGGGTCCTCCTTCGCATCTCCGCCCCAACCAAGGAAGAAGCCGAATTCTATCGGCTGCGACTCTGCGAATACCGCTGGACGCTGAGCGTCAGCAAGAAGGATGCTGAGTTCTTGGAGTTTGCGTTGGAGAGTCTGGACAACGCGAACAATCTGGATCATTACGTTCCTGAAAAACCTGGCATCGATGAATTGATGACCAGCGCTGCCAAACCCACGACGATCAATCCTCCGCGCATGGGCGCCATGGAGGACTCGATCTTGGAGGCCCCGGACAGTGGTCTGGGTGGCACCTCCTCAGTCATCTCGGGACTGGCATCTCCAGCAACCTCTATCAGTGATGAGAGCCTGCAAGACTCTTCTATCCCACCTCTCTAGCCATCTACTTCCCTTTCCTTCTCATACCTTTCTCTTTTTCCATGTTCCCCCCTAAAAGGAGATTCGCGATA